ACCTGGACATCCTGGCATTCCTGGCTCTCTGACTTCTTCCTCCTCTCCCATCCAACCCAGGCTGTATGCCCAGCTCTGCGTGCATCTCTTTCTTTGACTATTTTTGTTTGTAGGTGGTGTGTATCCTTTCTATTTTATCCTTTCTCTTCTAAGTGTGTGGGGTAAAGCTAGAGAAGGAATTATGTTAATTAAGCAATTAGAAAAAGATTGTATTGAAAATGAGCCATTAATATTAGAAAAATCATTTTAAGTTTAAAGGTCTATGGAATGGGCCGGGCGCGGTGGCTCACGCCTGTAATCCTAGCTCTTGGGAGGCCGAGGCGGGCGGATTGCTCAAGGTCAGGAGTTCAAAACCAGCCTGAGCAAGAGCGAGACCCTGTCTCTACTATAAATAGAAAGAAATTAATTGGCCAACTGATATATATATATATAAAAAAATTAGCCGGGCATGGTGGCGCATGCCTGTAGTCCCAGCTACTCGGGAGGCTGAGGCAGAAGGATCGCTCGAGCCCAGGAGTTTGAGGTTGCTGTGAGCTAGGCTGACGCCACGGCACTCACTCTAGCCTGGACAACAAAGTGAAACTCTGTCTCAAAAAAAAAAAAAAAAAAGTCTATGGAATGCATAAAAGTGGAATTTAATTGATATAGATAAGTAGTTATGCAAATGCTGCTTTTTGCCTATGATTCCGTTTCAGTCACATAGTTTTTTTATAGAACAACAATTGTCAACCAGCACTTTCGCCAGTTGTCTTTACGATTTTTATAAATTCTTAAAAAAAAAAAATAGGAAAAAAAGTCACTTGGAATCTCATTCAAGGTAACTGTGGTTGAAAAGGCAATTATGTGGCTCCTGGTAGTTTTAGGAGAGTAGCTGTCCCCAAAAATGAGTTACTCAGGACAGATTGCCAAAGCCCAGTGGAGAATCATTCGTGTGTAAACATCAGAGCGCAGCAGGGGCCTTCAGGGCCCTAAGTGAGTTGTTAGCCTGTGTAAATCCTGCTTAATGTTAGCACTTCCTGGAAATCACTGGCAGAGGAAGTTCTTAGCATTGCTGCCAAGGTTTGACGTCTGCTGCTTGGTGCTCTGAGGGGCACAATTAGTGTGTGGTTCCACCATGAACCAGAATCACAAATTCTCTGCATGGCTGAGCTGGCTATGGCATTATTTTAAAGAGCCCTTGGAGAAATAGGGCAGGGTTTCAAGTGCTAGTTCATAGGCAACTGGAAAAACATTTCATTTGATGTGTCTTAACTGTGGTTCCATGCATGTGTGCACACATATTCCATTTGGCTAGCTCTAGTGTATAGAAATGCAGAGGGGTGTTCCTCACACCCAGTTTTCCCATTCCTTGGTTTTTCCAAGTACATATCCATCTTCCCCAGTGTGGATTAGCCTACTAGGAGGAGCTATTACATCAAGGAGCAACAAGGGGAAAATGTAGCAAGAGCAACTCAGTATTACCCTTTGTCCCTGGGGACTAGTAGGAGGAAAGCTAGAAATGTGGGGTAACTCAGAAAACTTGCTTAAGCATCACCCAGGGTGAGGTGATATGGAAAAACAGAGCAAAGGCTTTGGGAGCTAGAAATTGGCCTGGTCAACAGCATGGAACATAACTTGAGTTTCAAGACTTCTCTGCTTCTTCTACAACGAAAATGATAATGAAATAGCCACACAATCTTTCAGCTTTCCCAGGACTAGGCACATGAAGCTGGGGTGAAAGCTAGAATACAGCAGCTGTCCCTGTCACAAGCCTGAGGTGACACAGGAAAGAAGAGACAAAAAGATCTTGAGTCCATTCCTGCTTTGTCTCTTTCTCACTATGCAGCCAAGGGCAAAGTTTCTTAACCTGCTTGGGCTTTAGTTTCCTTGTCTATAAAATGAGATATTTACTTCCTTCTGGAGTTTCTACAAGGTTTAAGTGAGATGTTATTAGTAAATCACCAGCTATTATTAGGTACTTAGTAATGGGAGCTACTATTACTATTTTTATTCATAAGCTGAAGTAAAATTGACTTCTATTAGATTTATAAGACAGGCATTAAAATTTAAAAAAACAAATTATAGGCCGGGCGCTGTGGCTCACGCCTGTAATCCTAGCTCTTGGGAGGCCGAGGCGGGCGGATTGCTCGAGGTCAGGAGTTCAAAACCAGCCTGAGCAAGAGCGAGACCCCGTCTCTACTATAAATAGAAAGAAATTAATTGGCCAACTGATATATATATAAAAAATTAGCCGGGCATGGTGGCGCATGCCTGTAGTCCCAGCTACCCGGGAGGCTGAGGCAGAAGGATCACTCGAGCCCAGGAGTTTGAGGTTGCTGTGAGCTAGGACGCCACGGCACTCACTCTAGCCTGGGCAACAAAGCGAGACTCTGTCTCAAAAAAAAAAAAAAAAAAAAAAAACAAATTATACATCCCCAGAACTTGTCCTAATTGTAAAGTTGTTCAGATGAATCCACACTTTAGTTTGTCCTCTTAGAAGTCCATAGAACTTACGAGCAGTCATTCAAACTCCTCTGTTGCCCACACTCCAGCTTCCCCACTTCTCCTTCTCCTTTTCAAAATACCTAAATTGTTAAACTTCCCGAGCAGTGCTATTCTTTCCCATCTCATAAGAGCTATTTCTCATTTTCTTCTAATAAACCTTCTAGAATTCCACATTAGAAAGCTCTAAGGAGAAGCATTTTTTTTTAAAGAGCTCAGGCTTTAAAAAAAAAAAAAAATCTTTAGGGGGGGAGGAAAAAAAAATCTTTGAATATTTGAATCTGCCCTTGCCCCACCCCCACCCCTGTGAAAACTTTGCATCTCACCTCATGAACCAGGTAATAGTTATAAATTAACCTTGACCTCATCATCTACTGATAGGCTGTAATTTCTCCATGATTCCAAGAGGTACAGGGTTTTCAGCTGAAATGCTAGGCTGCATTTTAAGCAGCACATACATCGACTTCTGCCTAAGCTAACTTTTCATCTGGGGCAGGCACCATTTTTTCTAATCAAATTCCTGCTATGGCATTTTATCAGTACAATAATCAGAAGTTATGTTAAAAAAAAAAAAGAAAAAGAAAAAACCAAAACTAGCAACACACACAATTCTTCTGAACAGGCTTTCAAAAAATCTATTTCTGGATTGCATTTATCTCCTTCCTCTGCCCTATTTTCAGAAGTTAACTTAAGCTTACACACTCAATCTAAAACAGTGAAAAGCTTGGCTGTGTTGGTGGAAGAGCCTTAAGCCCTGTTCAACCTTGATGTTGACTAATTGTTTACATTTTATAAAATATTCTGGGATTTTCTGCTCTGAAATCTTGGTACCAGATGCCTGTCCCTTATGTGGGCCCAGAGAGACTTGGAACAGACAAAAATGGGGAAAGGAGGAGAGGGGGTGAGAAGGGGTGATAGTGAAGCTGTCTGAATGGTGCTTTGTTCAAAATATAGCAGTTAGTTTTGTTTACATTTTATAAACTATTCTGGCCTTTTCTGCTCTGAAATTTAAAATGATTTGCATAGAAATAAGGAGTTGAGTAACACTTAGTCATTAACATGTTGTATTGGATTCTTTGCCTTGTCATCAAGGGTTGGTTCATGTGCTTTGCTAAAGTTGTTACGGGGTGCGGTGGCTCACGCTTGTAATCCTAGCACTCTGGGAGGCTAAGGCAGGCGGATCGCTCAAGGTCAGGAGTTCGAAACCAGCCTGCGCAAGAGCGAGATCCCGTCTCTACTAAAAATCGAAAGAAATTAATTGGCCAACTGATATGTATAGAAAAAATTAGCCAGGCATGGTGGCACATGCCTGTAGTACCAGCTACTCGGGAGGCTGAGGCAGAAGGATTGAGCCCAGGAGTTTGAGGTTCCTGTGAGCTAGGCTGATGCCACGGCAGGGTAGCCCAGGCAACAGAATGAGACTCTGTCTCAAAAAAAAATGGGGGGGGGGGAGCGGAGAATTGGGCCTTCATTCCATGCACATGAATTTTGAATTCAGATTAGCAAGATATTAGAAAATGGGAAAGGCTGTTTCAGAATCTTTTTGGAGTAACGCTTTGGAGGGGTCATTGTGGATGTAGTGACTGTCCTACATTTTTAGGACAGTCCCTGTTTAAAAATCTGTTCTCGTAAGAATGCCTGTGGTCTGATTTTTACTTGGGATAATGCAGCCACTTCCATGAGGGGTTCAGATCCTGTCCCCAGTTCTGCAAGCCTTAGAGCCCCAGGTTTCTGCTTATGTAGGGACATGTGTTGAGCCTGTGGAGAGCCTTCATCCACCATAGAAACTCACAGGAGTGGGAGTTTGATTTGTTCCAGAGTCACAATTTAGAACTTACTTGAGTAGCACCTTTGCAGAGCAAACCAGGCAACCACATCAGCTATGGTGTGCTGTGTTCCAAGGAAAGAAATCTACTCAGGGAACAGATTGAGGTGGAATCAAAACAAATTTTGTTGGAGGTTTTCTCAAACTCTTTCCTCACTGCAGAACCTCTTTGTTAATGATATTTTGTATGTAAACAGGTCAAACCCCGGGTGGGAGCTGGAACACACAGCCTCTGGGCTTCTCCTTGCCACCCAGTAGCACCCTAGACGCCCTGGGAAGGGGCCTCTTGAGACTCCATGGGACCCAGCAGGCTGGACCAGAGACCGAGCGGGGGCAGCCAGGGTCCCTCTCAGCCACACGTGGACCCTACGTTCCAGCTTTGGTTGTAGGGATTCTTTTGAGGGGGCCTTTGGCTGTTTGTCCCCATGTGTTTCTTGGTGTCAGGCAGCAGTCATTGGCCAGGTGTAGTGAATGTCCTGCCCGGACCGCAGGTGTGGTGGGGTGGACTCCGCGAACCTTGCTCCTCTCAAACGCCGTCTGCTGTGGTGTGGCTTCCAGCGCTTGACGCCTCCTCTCTCAGCGGGGTTCCCTGGTGGGGTTGGATGCTGGCCCGACTGTGGACTCGGGGAACGTGCAGCCGGGTTCTCGTACCTGAGCCGGATTTCTCCTGACTACATGTTGTTTTGTTCAATAGATGATGATTCAGATCTGTACTCTCCTCGATACTCCTTTTCTGAAGACAGTAAGTGACTTTGAATTTCCTGGTCCTGGGGGAGGAAGGGAAAGTGGTGGGTGAGGGAAGATACCATCTAGTTTTCCATTTTCATCAGTCTGAAGTTGTTTGTATGAACTACATTTCTGCAGCAAAATCTCCCCTTTCTGTGCCTCGTTCAAAAAGTGAGATGAGCTGCTTTGATGGTGAGAAGGTAGTTAAGAGGTCAGCCACACTACCCCTCCCAGCCCGCTCTTCCTCGCTGAAGTCCAGCCCAGAAAGGTAAGTGCCACCTTGCCACCTGTTTGTTACCCGCCAGGGCCTGCTCAGTGCTCATGGAGACATAGGAGCCTCCTTTCTTGGGAATGTGGAATTTGAATCCCTGCTCTGCCACCTATTAGCTGTGACTTACTCTTTCTGAGTCTCAGTGTCCTCACCTGTAAAATGGGGATAAAAATAACACAACTCCCTGATAGAGATATTGCAAGGATAAAATGAGATAATATATACAACATTCCTAGTAGTGCCTGGCTCATAGTATGGGCTTAATTAACGTTCACTATAATTACCACTTCTATAGTTTCACAAGAGAAATCTTAACTACAAGATTTGTCAAATTTTTGTATTCTGTGTTCACATAATCATAGCAAAGACTAATTTTAAAAACACTTTTTAATGTCCATTTATTCATGCAACATATATTACTGAGACATAATCATTGACTTGTTCTAATAGCAGCATTAGTCATCTCTTAATACCTGCACTAAACAACCCAATTTTTTTCCTTGAGTTTTTAATCTCTAAAAATACCCTATGGAGCAAACTTCCTATGCTGTTTGGACAGGTGTCCCATCATTTTCCAGCTCCAACTTCCACCACTTCTCATCACACATAAGGCTCTGGCCAACAAAATTACTTATTTTTCCCTTAAATACACATCCAGTTTCACACTTCTGTACCTTTTCCATCTTCATAGACAAAACATGAATGGCTGTTTTAAAAGACCACACATACTTAAGTGGCATCTACCTGAGAAGTTTAATAATTAATTTAAAAGGAAGGCTGTGTATACCATTTACAGGTGCATTCACTAAGCACCTACTGGGTGCATTCTATGCAGATCGAACCAGTTGTTATGGAAGAATATAAGTGTATATAAAGTATTGTCTCGGGCTTCCAGAAGTTTACAGCTTTCATGAAAAACTAAATATAATCACAGTGCAGAGTGCACTGATGCATGTGAATAGATTGGGTGCAGTGGTTCATGCCTATAATCCTAACACTTTGGGAGGCTGAGGCAGGAGGATCACTTAGGCCAGGAGTTTGAGACCAGCCTGGGCAACATAGCAAGACCTGGTCTCTACCAAAAAAAAAAATTAGCTTGGCATGGTGACATGTGCCTATAGTCCCAGCTACTCAGGAGGCTGAGACAGGTGAGGATGATCACCCAGGCTCACCAAGGCTCCAGTGAACTATGATTGTGCCACCGCACACTCTAGCCTGGGCCACAGAGTGCAATTCTGTCTCAAAGAAAAATAAATTGCAAACAATTTTACAATTTCCAAGGATTCATGTATCCTCTGAAACCCATCCCTGGACGCCAGGTTAAATATCTGTGCCAAAGGCTGAAATTGGTGGGTAGTGCAGTGGGGTGTGGAATAGGGAAGAATATAATTATAAGAACAGCTAACATTTATTGAGTGGTTACTATGGGCTTAGCATTCTGCTCTGTGATGTATATACAGTCTCACTTAATCCATATAGCAACCCCCATTTTTCAGATGAGGAAACTGAGGTACCAAGAGGTAAAGTGCTTCTCTAAGATCACCTAGCTAGCTAGTGGTATAGCAGGGATTTGAACCACAGTCGAGTGGCTCCAGAACCAGGGTTCTCCTGATGCCACTAGCATGAGTGGGAAGTACAAGCATGTTTGGGGAATGATAAGCTCATGAGAGTAGAGCAAGGTGAAAGATTTTTCCAGAGCCAGCATTGCTGCTTCCTCCTCCCTCCCTGCTGCTTTCTCTTCTCTCTGCTTCCTGGGACCTGGTTTTGAGCACAGGATACTTCACGCCCTTTGTGAAGTTAACACAGAGCCTTGACTGGTTGTTTTGAGAAGCAAACCAGCACAATTACATTGATCGCCCAGGCTCTGAATTTATGCTTTGGATATAAAAGTTCCTTGATTAGACAACAGCCAACCAAAGTCAGACCTTCTCAAAAGCCGATGCCAGTTTTCATGAAAATAGCTCTAATAGGATTTTTTTTCTGCAGAAATGACTGGGAGCCCCCAGATAAGAAAGTGGATACGAGAAAATACCGTGCAGAGCCCAAAAGCATTTACGAATATCAACCGGGCAAGTCTTCCGTTCTGACTAACGAAAAGATGGTAATGTGCATATTAAAGTTCCTTTGTCCCACCCTGCCCATGTTCTTTTATCCGGATGCATCATGCAGCCAGTTGGATCACATTCTTTTCCCCTTGAGATAGACTCTCTTTGTTTAGAAGACAATGAAAAAATGAAGTATTTTTACCCTCTTCATTTTTGCAGGTGTTCATAAAATAAGTCCTCAGAGTCCGTTTTTAAAGAATCCTCTTATTGTGGCTCTGTTGCTTTTTTTGTGCATGGTTTTAACTAATATTAATTTTCCCACTAACATACAGATTTTTGCTGCTGTCTTTTTGTAATGTCTACCTGTTAATTTATCAGGCTTGTTGTTAACTGGAGTCCAGTTTTGTTTTTTTTAAGTGACTCATTTGAACATATATACATTTTGTATATATGTTATAGAATTTTATTTATCATTAAAAGCTAAATAACTAATAGGATGTTATGACTTAGAAAAAAGGCCCCAGGCTGTTCCAGTGTGTCTTTTAGGTCTACCTTTTTTGACAAGTGCCGTATTGAGGACTAATTTCACATTCAGTCTGGTTTATGGTTCCCTGCACAAGTTTACATTTCCAAGCAATTAGGAGTTGGGAAGATGGCTGGGTGGGTATAGCAGACCACCCTGAGGAAGCATCCTCCTCTGTGAAACGGGAAGAATTTTTACAAACTGGTTAGTTTCATATTTGCCAATCATACTGCATTTATTCACACTTCATCAGAAAAGGCTGGCTCAGAATTGTGATCCTGCTTAAAGGGGTTCTCCAAAGCTCATAGACGGTGCAGTCCTTCAGCATGACAGCAGGATGATGGCATTATCATGCTGGGATGGGCTTTGTGAAAATGCTGCTCCCACACCATGTGCCGAGTAAGCAGCCTCTGAAACGCGGGCTCCAATTATGTTCCCTCCGCCTCTTCTGCTCTGCATGTTTTGCAGGAAGAATCAATTTGACTTTTACTGAAATGAAAATGTGACATCTTTAAAAGTACAGAGGGATAAGTTATTTTAATTAGGAGAAAAGATCAAGAGGTCACAGAAATACTTTCAGAGTTGTCATTCCTTGGAGTTTACTGGATGCCACAGCTATTTCAAGCAGAAAGTCCAGAGAGGAGCAGAGAAGTTAGCCTCTGGCTCCCCATTCATTCAAGGTTCTCTGCCTGTTAGAAGGTACCTTGTACGTAATAAACACGGAAGGTACCCCTCCACCCAGGTGTTCCGGGAAAGAAAGTCAGGTTCTTCAGGTATATTCCTAACACTTTAATAATGATTCTGGGACCCATCATAACATATTAGTACATTTAAATGACTTCAGGGACCCTATAGGCATTTGGGTATTTTTGTTTTGGCAACATTACCATTTATAGACTGTCAGGGCTCTTATCGATGGCTCGCCCCTTTTCTTAATTTCTTCTTTGTTTCCATCTCCTTTCCTTGATTCCTAGTAATTTAACCACTATTCAGAACTAGGAAAAATAACAACATAGTTTAGTTTTTCTCATCAATACCGTAATAGTTACAAGAATCTTCCATGCCATGCTTCTAGGGATCATATACATTGTTTTTACACACTTGGAAAAGTAACACACAGCACCCCCTGGAGGCGCTCTTGGGGATTGGTGGTGAGCGTAGGCGTGGATTACCCAGGAATCTCCTCTGTGTTGTTCCACACCTTAGGCTTACTCCATTAATGGGACAGAAACACCAAAGGCAGGCTAGGGAGGAACGTAACTATTCAATAGTTTAATTTAGTGCCTTTCACACAATTTAGCTCTATTCTTCCAAAGAAAAATTTTTGATTTTAGAAAGAAATTTCAGCCAAATCTTAATCTTTTGATACTCTACCTTTTGCAGTAGTTGAATTAGTCCTTTATGTTTAATTTTTTCCCTATTTTTATCATATGAACAGAAAAATTGGGATGTGAGCTTCAGTGTGTGAATCTTGCCTTTTGGTATCCAATATCTGGTTTGCCAGAATTTGAGCACTACCCCCACCTACACACATTTTTTGTTATTGTTGTCAACTGTAGATATGTATACTAACTAGTGACAGATGTAGAATCTAAGTTTGCTGTCAGATACATAGTACTTCATTTTAGAAAAAAAAGTTTTTTTCTTCCATTTGAGATACTGTGTCTGCTTAACTCTGGCAGTTTAAATTGTGGCACATGTATATATTGTCAGCAGGAAGAGTTGAATATGGACTATAAAGGCTGCCCCAGAGCTCGTCCTGCCCCTGGAGCTTACCCAAGCCACCCAGACAGTGAGAGAAGCACTGTACTGCCCTCAGACTCCCCTATGGAAGACTCACAACCTTGGTGACATAGTTGCCTGTTTGGCAGACTCATGTGAAGGTCTCCATACCTATTTGATCTTCTCTTACCATAGTAGGGTGGCATTTTCTTCTCTTCTGGCCTTGGAACTGGGGAGCTGTTGGTCGGTCCCTGACTTCTCAGAAATGACCTTTTTCAGGCTTTTTTCCCCTTATACTTTCCTCTAAAGTCCCTTACAGAACTTCAGCTCAATTCAACAAATACACACATAGAATAACTTTTACATGCCAAGCCCTGGGTCACACGTTGAGTTCCTGCTCCCATAGGTGTATAATAGGAAGGACAGATATTAAAACAGTAATTACAGACACTGTATATATTTGGAAGTGTGAAACAAGGGTATTTACCTAGCTTGGTTTCTTCCCAATCCACTGTCACTTTGAGTTCCTTCCCTGGCTTCTCGAATTGGTCACTTAGCCCTGTTTCAGCAGTCCTGGTGGGTCAGCCCCTCTCATTTGGAGTATGAGAAATAGAATATATTGTAGCATAGTGTAAAGAGAACTGGGCTAGGAATTAGAACATCTGAGTTCTGGGTTCTAGTTCTGACTCTGCCTTATGTCTTGGGGTAAACCACTTAACCTCTCTGAACCTCAGAGTTTTCGCCTGTGAATAGGAATATCATCTGGCCCACCAACCTCACTGAAGCCCTGAGTGAGAGGGTCAAGTGTGATAACATGGGCACAGGAACTGTGAATGCTATAGAGGACTGCATAGACAAACATACCATATTCAGATGACCTATCTAATTGAAATTTGAAGCTGGTCTTTGGCCCCCGTTCAAGCAGCAAAGCTGTCTTTGAGGAAAACTCGGCATTTTCCTGGGGAGTTACCTGCCCTTTCCAAGGATTTCTTTTGAGCCGGGAGAATAGCCTCTAGTACCAAAGAACTTTGCCTGGCATTATGAAATTTGCCCTGCCTGCCAGGACAGAGGTCCTTCTCTGCACCCAGTAGGTTGTTTTCTGTTGGCCTGTTCCATGATTGGATCTACAGCTGACTTATACATGGCAAAATTAAATGCAGATGTTGGTGCTATGTGGTGTCATCTTTTTACCTTTATCTCTGGATAAAGGTAAAAGGACTGAGGACAGTCAAAGGACTGAGGCCTGCTGCTCTGGACACAAGTTATTTGACATACCTCCTGATCCTATTCTTGGCACAGCATTAACCTCTGCAGTAAAACCATCTGCAGACAATCTTCCAGAATAAAATGGGTTAATTCTTTCAGGACTGTGAGTGCCAAAACTTTCAGGCAGTTTCCTGAAAGAGTTAGTACATTATGTTAAAAAAAAAAAAAAATGCCTAGCCTATTCCCAGAGAGCAGTTTATAAATAATCTTTGTAAAAATAAAAAACATGAAATAGATTTTGCAAAACCCCATCATATTAGGATCTACAGTGTCCCAGTGTCTACCAGGGGTCCTCAAACTTTTTAAACGGAGCCAGTTCACTGTCCCTCAGACCGTTGGACGGCCAGACTATAGTAAAAAAAAAACTATAAACAAATTCCTATGCACACTGCACATATCTTATTTTGAAGTAAAAGGCAAACGGGCAAAAACACCTGTATGTGGCCTGCGGGCCATAGTTTGAGGACGCCAGGTCTAAGCCATCACTCCTCAATAGTTGTATCCTTGTGGATAGTGTCTCATTTCACTCAATAAATACAGACTCCATTTGCTGTAGTGAGGACGAGCTTTCCTCTTCAAGATTTAAGCCCTAATTCCCTAAAGACATTTGGAGAAGATTTTATCTGGATGCAAGTGGATAGACCTCATGTTTCCATGTATACTTCCTTCTAATTTCATCATAGTTTAATTTCAGCTAATGAAAGATTCTCTGCCATATATCCATATCTTCCTCTACTGAGCAAAAGTGGAAGTAATGATAAAGATTCTTCTAAGGGTCTTAGAAGAAGAAGGGGTTGGTAAAGATCACTAAGAAAGTTTGTAGCCATTTCTACAAGCTGCAGAGGGGCTGTTAACTGCACGAAGAAAGGCGTTCACAAAGGTGTTCAGGAAGACCTGGCTTGTAAAGTAGTAGTAGCATCACAGAGCTGTACAGATGCGTGGTGACCCCTTCCTCAGGTGTTGAAGCCTAGAAGTACTGAAGTTCCTTGTGTGTTTTCAATCTCAGTAGAATATGTACATTTTATGTTTCAAATTATTGCAGAAAATCACTATATCTCTCTTTTTTGTGCTTATCAAAGTTTTTTAAAACATATATGCATATAAGAATTTAACTAAACCATGAACCTCAGATACTTTTGTCTAATGTAAACGTATCTATTAAGGGGAAAACCTGATTTGCTTTCCAGGCATTCATTTTCCAACTAATTATTTCCAGGAACACATGTTATTCCACAGAGTAAGGTACTAGAACTTTATACATATTTGATTAAATATTATATCCCATGGAATCAAATTATCAATCTATGTGATACCTCTTAGAGTTATATAAAGTGAGAAATCTAACTTATTTTTCTAACACGATCCAGGAGTTTTTTTCACCACTGTTATCTGTCTTGTCCAGCTTTTCCCTCACTTTATTTTTTCCCGGCTCTTTAACATGTATTCATTAGAACACAAAGTATATTCTGTCTGTATTCATCCCCCATGGTTGCTTGTTTAAAATGTTTTCTCTCCATGTCCTCTCTTTTTGCTTATATCATCTTTCACTTTACTGTGTACAGGACATGGTTTCTCACCTCTTCATGTGCCATTAAAGATGCAGTATTAACCAATTGGCTTTTATAAAGTGTCAGTATTTGTGTTTATTTTGAAAACTTTAAGGCAGCCTTGCAAATAAGTACTAAAACTGTACTAGCCCGTAAAAACTGTTTGCTCTACTCATCTGGCATAGATGGCTAAATGTTTGGTGCGCTCACCAGGTTTTTTCTCGTAACTAATAGTTCTTTGTGCAGAAGAAATAAAGGCTTTCTTTTCTTCCACAATACTGAAAATCATTAAGGGATGCTGTTGTGCCCATATTCAGATTTGTTGTGGAGGACAGCAGTGTGGTGCAGAGTTCTCCATTTGCCTCTGCCTTAGGCCTGAAAATGATTCACTCACTGCTACCTTGCCTCAGTTTCCCTGTTTTTATAAACCCATCCTCTCCCTCTTGTTTTTGCTGATACCAGTAAAAACAGATGATTGCTGCTATTGAATGCAGTTGCTACCTACACCTGGAAACCACTGCATCTCTACTGGCCTATTCCTATGTAATCTTTGCATAATGTTATCCTTCTCTTTCTTCCATTTCCCTATCACCAACCCCTATAGAGTCGGGATATAAGCCCAGAAGAGATAGATTTAAAGAATGAACCTTGGTATAAATTCTTTTCGGAATTGGAGTTTGGGAAACCGGTAAGTTTGATAGCTTCAGCGGTTTTACACCTTTTAAAATAATGCTGTTGGTGCATTGTTGCTGCTAAAGAGTAAGATCTACTTGTAATAAATTCAGGGAGTGAGGAACAGTTGTACTGTCATCTATAGTAGGGTAGTCTCACTACAACCTGTGAACTTTTTTTTTTTTTTTAATTTATTTTTTTTGAGACAGAGTCTCGCTTTGTTGCCCAGGCTAGAGTGAGTGCCATGGCATCAGCCTAGCTCACAGCAACCTCAAACTCCTGGGCTCAAGCAATCCTGCCTCAGCCTCCAGAGTAGCTGGGGCTACAGGCATGCACCGCCATGCCTGGCTAATTTTTTCTATATAAATTAGTTGGCCAATTAATTTCTTTCTATTTTATAGTAGAGACAGGGTCTCGCTCTTGCTCAGGCTGGTTTTGAACTCCTGACCTTGAGCTATCTGCCCGCCTCAGCCTCCCAGAGTGCTAGGATTACAGGCGTGAGCCACCGCGCCCAGCCTAAGCTGTGAACTTTGCTTTGCTTGCTTCACCAAGAAAGGAGGACAGTGAGCTCTGGAAGAATGTCTTGACAGAATATCCCAGAGAGACACCGAATTGTCTCTGGACCTCCTGTGGGTAACAATAAATACCACATGCCTTGTGGATGGCATTATTTCGGTTATCGGTTACTTCTTTGACCAAAGTCTTTATGGCTTGCTAAAGACAAGCAGGAAAGTGCACTACACCCTGAGATAGCCAGCATCATCACTGCTTTAACTAGCATTTTTTAAAAGCACATATGCAAGGGAAGTGATCACATCCTAAGGCTTCTTTATGTAGATATGACCCACAAAGGCAACCCCATTATAGGAGACTTTGGGGAATGATTTCTATGAGTTAGGATAATATTCCCAAAGTTTGAGATGGGAGATTGGAATTCCAGCTTATTTAGTGTTCAGCCTAGTCTTCCTCATGACATCTCTAAGTTTGGCTTTGGTACAAATTGACTTTTTGCACCTAAAGGAGGATTTTCTTAGGCCTGCACCCAAAGGAATATCAAATGGAAGAGAGAATTGAGCTCGTCCTTCCACCAGAGATGACTGGAAACTGACTTTAAAACTCTAGTTTCTTGAAAGTCTTAATTATTACAGCTGAAAAAGAATTTCCAGGTGGAAGACTTAAGTATATAAAAACATTTTATTAGATGTTTGTATGAGACCTTAAGCATTGAATCCAGCTTCTGAATTACTGTGGTTTGATGTGATAGTTTTATTTGCAGACAGGAAATATAGTTCAGTAAAATGTTAAATTCCATGGTGTCTATTTTTCATTAAGACAAAGACAGAGAAATTAAGCCGTTGCTCTGGAGTTGCTAATTTGGTTTAGCAATTCTGAGCTTTAATTGGAAAACTCAGGCTTCTTCTGAGTTAGGAGCGCCAGACTTGCAAACAGCCAACTTTTCCCCTCTCTGGTTCCTTCTAGACACTGTCCTGGGATAGGGGCTGAGCTATCACAAATGAACAGCGCCACCTAGTGACCTCTGGAGAGAATACATCTAATTCAAACCCAACACCCACCTTTCTTCTCCCCTCCCCAAAGCTTTGGTGCACACCTCATGTCTTCTCCCTTCTCTCCTTTTTTTCTCTGCTGTTCACCTTTCAGACATCAATTAAGTCTACCTCAGGCAATCTTTTCCACATGGAAATATTTAACAGTATCCTAACACTTTTCTTGTTCTTTTTCTTAAAACCTGCTCAATTATCTCACACACAAAAAACCTTCTGATATATGTAGTCCCCTCCCCCCCCACACACAAAGACCATGATTGGTATATATAATAATAATGCCATACTCTCATCAAGGAAAGCAAAAGCTATTAGTTTTAAATTATGTTTAATAAAGAGTCCATGCCATTGATTTTTGAAGTCCCTTCAGAATCCACAAATTTCTAGTCATCTCATCTGCCAAATAACTAGTTTTATCTGAAATATTAGCTTTTAGGAAATATTATGGGATAATTTTTTTCTACTTTATTGTGATTGGTTTGTTTTACTAAATCTATCATTGAAAATAATTTTTTATAGACAGTATTTCAGTGCCAACATTCATTAAATAGGCTCTGTGAGTGGCTTGATAGATTAACACTGTTTCTACTGAAAACTCTTGGTCTAAGTACAACAAAACTGCTTAAAACAAATGTTGAGAACACAGTCCAATTATATATTAGGGATTTCCTATAACTTTTGTCCTTACCCGTTGATTTGACTGCCTCTTAATTATTTATAGACTTAGAGATGCTTTTACAAAATGGCATTTTCTATGAAGCTACTTGTGTTCCTTTCACAGATCTGAGAGTCCTTCTGATGGATCTGCTCTATTTTGTGTAGGTCTTACTTTAAAAGATGCTTTTGAAGACTTGCCTAAGTAACTTAATCAATGCCTATATCCCAAGGAGCAGCCCTAAGGTGAAACAGTCCCTTACGGTCTGAGACATCCTAAGAGCGAGCTTATTACCTGGTTGAACCCACAGAGTTTGGGAAGAAGTTGTGGTAGGGAGAGATTTTTTTCTTCGATTTTCTTCCTGCCCCAACTGCTCTGCCACCAAAGAGTAAGAGACATAAATAAAAGTGGTGTAGACCTTGGAAGTTGTTTTGGAAAATTTTCAGCCATTCAGAGGCAGAATAATATTAAAATTCTTACCCAATCATGTGGATCATCATCGCTATTTTTTTCCCATACCAACTCAGGAGCACTTATCCTGGATAAAGCCTTTGACACTAGACATTCATCCTGAACTCCTTTCTTCATCAACTCCTTCACTTAAAGCCACACAAAATGAACTGAAATTTTAGCAAGATCTTGACTGTGATGCCTTTTAAACTCTAACAAGTTGTTATAGAACAGCAAATGGTTCAAGTAACCATTTTGGGGAGGATTACTTAAAACCAATTTAATTTGTAAACACTGTCAAACACTGTCTTTTTTTTTTTTTTTTCAGTAAGAAGCAAATGAGTAGAGGTACCATAAGTGACTTTAAAAAGTCTCCTTCCCCAGATGAACAATCCAAGTATATCAAGTACTTAAAGATGAATGGTCATTGCTAATGTCACTGCAGAACATACACGTACAGAGATGACAATACTAACCTGTTGCCTTCAGTGCAAACTTACCTTGGAATCAGATTACTTTTTATTTGCAGATTTATTACAAAGGGCCTGGGTATTAGCTTTTTCTTCTTCTTTTCTCTGTAATTTCTACAGAAATTGACATGATTTCTATCTGTAAGCACAAGTCAAAATTTCACAGTTCAAGTCAATTTGAATGCTTCAGTAGAGTTGGTTATAATGAAATTTACATAAGATTTTAGGAGCTATTAATGATCCCATTTCTCATCATCCCAGAGGTCATTATATAAGAAAATTCATGTCTAAGTAGGCAGAACAAGAAGGTCTGTTTGGTGGGAGAGAGGTTTTAGAGTTAAAAGTACCTCATAACTTCCGAATGTCCTACCCTTCCTCATTAAACTTACAACAGTCTCCTGGAAAATTTCTGTCTAAGGACTGCAGCTCTAATTCTAACATGAAGGGTTAAAAGAGAAAATGAAAATAACTTTACAGTTCACTATTTAAATTCTAAGTTTAAGCCCGGTTCTTTAAGAAGGAGAGAAGGTAGGTCTCAATCACTAGCAGTATTATCAAAGTCTAGTTAAACTGTAAAAGGAGATTTTAAAACTAGTCGTATAAAATTGAGCACTTAACACACATTGTGTGCATAGATTTCATTGCCACAAACCATAGAGGGCACATTTAGTTTAGCTTATCCTCCATTGGCCAAACCTATAGATTCATAGATTTGTTAACACATGTTGAATTTTATAGCAGGGGATGACTGCTTCAAAAATGTAGACTCTGCAGGGTCAATCTTAGTTTGAAAAGGACAGTGAGGAATGTAAGTTTCTATTTTTGTTCAAATTCATGTTAATGCTTTTTTTTTTTCTTCTTTTTTTAAGTTTTCAATATTTAGAATCCAACAATGATTTGCTCTTGAGACACAGACATAGAAACACACTTCCTAGGTAATGGTCCCAGCTCCCAAGTCCTCAGAGCTCCTATTCGGGGCAGGTAGCCATGTGTCTGTAGGCTGAGTGCCCACTCCCTCTGCTTTTGAGTTCCCTCTGTGTTGACACAGTTCTCCTAGTGTGCCCCTCTCTGTTTGAGCCAGTCTCCATGTTTGTCTTTATGTCTTTATGCTCATTTCTTCATTTCCTCCTCTGCTTCCCGTCAGCCTCCCAAAAAGATATGGGATTATACTCCTGGAGACTGCTCTATCCTTCCTAGAGAGGATAGAAAGGTAATTCCACTGTGCCTCCTCTGTTGGACTGTGTGTGTGCTCTCTAGCCTTGGTTAGTGTGAGTGTGTTGTGGGTTTGTTTTCTTAAATCACTTTTTTTTTAACTTGGTGATAAATTTTTTTTGTTTGTTTTTGTTTTTTTTTTTTTTTTTGCTTGGTGATAAAACTATTTAACAAAGTCTCTAAGACATATACTAATGTTTAGAGGTTTTCTAAGCAATTACTTATTCTCCTGACATATATAGTATTTATCACAGTCACCATACTCTGAAAAGAGAGAAAATAGGTATTTCCTTAAAGGTAGGTTTTTGTGGTATTTGTAGTTCTCTTTAGCAAATAGAATAGATATTTGAAGCTGATTACTTTAGAGTTTCTATTTTATAAGCCTGATGTTACATTCTCTGTTTTCGTGTCTTTAACTAATTTCTGGTGAGCTCTTGTGTTTTAGTCATGGGGCATCTTGGCCTTTATGAAAGTATGACACTAAAAAAAATTTCATTTTTCAAACTTAACCTTCCATTCTTTTTCCCTTTCCTCCAAACTAAAACCTTCTTTCCCATCTTTTCTTTCTTGAACCAGACTAATCTAGACAAAGATCTCAACCTCTGCCAAACAGAGTTAGAGGCAGATTTAGAAAAAATGGAGACGCTTAATAAAGCACCCAGTGCAAACCTGCCACAGGTATTTCCTAGTTTTTCTCATGCCGATAGTTCCTTCCCAAGCTCTGCTTTGTGTCCCGCTTTGTCCTATGATTTTGGTGTAGTTGAGGTGACGGATGGTTATGCTGTTTATTTTAAGCTGCATGGCTTTCTTACTCCTGTCTTAGGTTCCTTTCTCAACCCTTATCCCCCACCCGAGTTAATTTTTGCTTGGATTTCTTTTGAGCTTGGCATCTTCCTTAAAGGATTCTTCAAATATGTGCAGAGTGGTTGGTGACTGCAACCACTCCCCCTACTTTTTCTCTTTCTCGGCTTTTAAGGGGCAGCCCTTTGAAGTTCCCTCCCTTCACCTCTGGTACATTCTCTGAATGTTCAGGGAGCCATTTTTGGCAATTTCCTTGTGTTTTTTGCAGCCTTGGGAGATACCAACCTCAGAGATCATTTTCAGAAACACAGCCACAGTGATCTGGGTGCCTCTTCTGTGCATGGTGCTGTCAGAGTAGTAGCGTTTGTCCTGGGAGAGGTCAGAAAGTTCCTGATGAAAAAAATGCCCTCCAGAGTTCAGAGGGCCTGGACACAAACAGGTGTTTGAAACTGAGCCTGTGTTGATATTTTTAAAGGGAGTTACATCAAAATGTGGTTTACTAAAGGGTATGTGGGAGAAAGAGACAGACAGGCACACATACCACCTTCCCCCAGCACACACGCACACGCACAGTAAATGGATTTCCAAGGGGGGAAAGAAACAAATGTGGGCCGGGCACAATGGCTCACGCCTGTAGTCCTAGCACCTTGGGAGGGCCAAGGCAGGAGGATCTCTTGAGCCCAGGATTTCAAGGTTGCAGTGAGCTATGATTGTGCCACTGTGCTCCAGCCTGGGTGACTGAGTAAAACCTTTTCTCTTCAAAAAATAATAAATAAACCAAATGTTCCCAGAAGTGTCCCCAGAGTTCCCTGACAAAAGAGATTCTTACAAGGAAAGGATATCTTTAGAGAAAAAAAATAAAAAAGGAAGTGGACACTGCGGAAGAGACTAGGAAGGTCCATAAAGCACGGCAGGAAAAGTGGAATCTTGCCATACTTACACAGAATGAAGACAAGGAGGGTCAGACCACCAGCCAGATTGACTTGTATGGAAATTCATGTAAGCACCAGAGACTCAGACCAAAGGAGGGGAAAAGAAACCAGAGGAATGGGCAGCAGGTGAGGTGGTAGGATGAGAACATCAGAGCTACAGGCTGGTCAGGGAAAGTAGGACTGGGAGTCCAAGGAGGCAGCAGGGCTGCAGGAGCTGGCGAGGCCAGTGGTCAGGCTCAGGGTCTCCTTTAGAACTTGGAGGAGGCACAAGAGGCAAGTCACGTGTCCACCATTGAGGCAGACAGGCACGGGGTGGGAAAGTGGAGTGGGCTTAGGGGGCTGAGTTTCCAGCCTGAGTGGGGACCAGAACCAGGTGTAGCCACTGTGAGGTTGAAAGTCCAAGGTAGGAACCAACTAATTCTAGAGTGAGCATGGTGGCTGCAGCTACGTTCTGAAGTGGGCTGCAATGCAGGATGGGAGGTCTGGGGTAACACGTTGGCCAAAATGAGTCAAGAGGTGCTTTTTTTCAAAGTAGTCCAAAATTATAAGAGAGCTTCTGTAACCCATGCAATGAACTAATTGCAGCCTCCCTGCGGGCAGAGCCTGGTCAAGGCGGGCACAGAGAAGCATCTGACACGTTAATGAATCATCTTCACATCAGTTCAGTTAACTGGTGCCCATTTGTCCCAAGTGTGTATGGCACATGCTGCGGGGCTTTGCCTGCTAGAACTTGACAGTTTAGTCACATCCATGAGTAAAAGACCTCCGGCAGTACTGAGCAGGGCCTGCTAAGAGCTAAATGAATGGCATAGGCTCAAAGTGGCAGAAGAGAGAAATCGTGTGGAAGATCAGAGAAGGCTTCTTGGGAGTTAGCAAGGATCTTCAAGGGGGGATGGAACTCGAGTACATGGCGAGTAGGGGGTATCCATTTGCGGCATGGCGAGAGCAGTCGGAACATCACAGAAGGGCATGTGCTTAAGGTGTATTCAAGAAAAAAGATGAATTCAGCTGGAATGGGAAATTGAGTGTGGGAATAGTGGGAGATAGATTTGGGAAAGAAGATTGACCCTGGATTGTAGAGGCTCAGAAAATATGGCTAAAGATGATCAAGTTTATCCTCATTCTAGTGATACAATTCAGGAAGTGCTTTAGGAAGATTAGTGTCATTGCTCTAGGGAGGCTGACTTGAAGGGAGAAGAAAACTGGAGTCTCGAAGGGCAAGGAGGCGATTGTGGTCGGTGTGTCGTGGTGACAGCCCACGCCGTGGGGCACCAGCATTGGGCGCAGCCGGGACGCAAGAAAAATCACCCAGGACATTGCAATGGGACGTTTTAACTAACTGGTGGGATAGAGACAAGGACAACTTTAGGGTTGGGGCCAGGCAGCTGGAAGATTGAGGACACGAGTGTGTCACATAAGAAAGTTGGGAAGAAACTCAGGCCAGAGGAAAGGTGAGGAAGTGAGTTTAGGCGACTGACTTTCACAGTGCTGGTCGGGTACCATACAGGGAATATCCAGCAGACAGTTGGAGCTCTAAGACTGGTCTCATGGAAGAGGCAAGGGCTTTAGAATTCTATTGGAGTCCCCTGTAGAGAAGTGATGGTTGAAGCCCTGGGAGTAGATGGAAGACTGAAGAGGGGATCGTGTTGGGGAAAGGTTGAGAGACCAAGACTATCCACTGGGATGCTGGGTGACGTGGAACAGGAGAAGAGAGGCAGAGAAAGAAGAGTTCAGAAAGGTATGGACAAGCAACTGATGGAGCAAGAGAAGAAAAGTGAGAACTGCCCAGAGAACTGAGAGGTCCGGAGAGATGGACTCCACGGAAAGGTCAATGGATTTGACAACTAAGAGGTTTCTAAAGACTTTGGAGGTTGCTGGGGGAATGCTTGATGGGAGTTAGAGTATGTGGCAAAATATCAGGAGATCTTGCAGGGCTGCAGCACTGAATGCAAAGACGTGATCATGGAAGGAAAGGAGGGAGGGAGGGGGTGTTCCCAGATGACTCACAAGGTCATGTAAAACTTTTTCCAAGCTGGAGACCAGGACACAATCTTGGGAAATGGAAGACTAGAATGGGGCAGGTGCTAAGAGGTGGGAGGCTCGAGGAGAGGCTGGGCAGGTAAGACAGTGCAGCCGAAAGGGCTGGAGGATGCACCTGGAGGCAAGCGGGTGCCCTCTCTGAGGAATAATGGGGGCATTGTGGTATTTAGTCCTCATCCTGGGGCAGAGGTGCCCTCAGAAATGGAAGGACACAAACCCAACAGGATTCAGCAGGCAGAGGGCCAGGTGGGTGAGTCACCTCCCCCTCCCTGTCATCTCCTTTTCTCTCTTTCACAATCTGTTTGTTTTCTTTCTCTCCTCCTCCCCTTTCCCCAATGTCTCTTCTCCAGCTAGCTTATTTTCCTTAAAATAGTCATTATTAGGGATATGGTCATTATTAGAAATACGAATGTCTTTAAAGGTTAACTTTTACATTGATTTATTCAACTACGATATTATTTTAAAAACAAATATATTGAACCCTTTGCATTTTTCTCTCTAAACACAATAACAGAAACCCCACACTATATAATTATGTTAATTTTTCTCTGCATGTAGCTCGATTGATTTCTTTCTTTTGCATAGTATCCTGATAATTTTACAAAGCATTCCCTTATTCATGCCAAAATGGTCGTTAATAGGTTTTTGCAAAATTGCATTTTTTCCCATTGCCACACTTCTAAATCTGCAGGCATGCATACATAAATTACTGAAATACAGTGTGGTCTTTTCAAATGCACTTTTGTATGTTCTGGACCAAATGTATCAAATGTTGGGTGACACTCTCTCTGGATGTGGCATTTGGGGTGCATGAATGGATCTGCAGTGGGCTCAGGGGAGGGGGGGTGTCTATGGGCAGGGGAGAAGCTGGTGGAGGGTGTGCTGTCCATGTCACCAACATGTGTTGGCCCAGTGGTGGCCAGTGATGGAAAATAAGTATGAGCCAGGAGGCCATCTCCTGACCTGCCCAGAGAGCCTTGGCTGCATCCATCCACTGGAACACAAAAGACCAGGAGTTAGAGAGCCCACCTGCCCAGACACTCTCCTCCCAAAGAAAGAGCACTGCCCTCCACCAGCACCAAAATCCTTTCCATCCAGGCTCTCTGATGCCCAGAGGCCCTTATCTAAATTAGAAAAGGAAAGTGATTTCTCTCTTTTTCCCCTTGGCTTGAAAGTCTGAGTAAAAATAAATCATCTACATTATTATTTTTTCTTTTTTCTGTTTTTTTTTTTTTTTTTTTTGACATTTACAGAGCTCAGCAATCAGCCCTACTCCGGATATTTCTTCAGAGCCTCCTGGATAGTAAGTTGCCACTCCCCTTTGTTTACATGGCAGAATGTATTAAATGTCAGAAGTGGGAAGAGAGAAGCTTGTGTTTTGGACCCAAAGCAAAATTTATTTGTATCAGTATAATGGCTTCAAATGATGCACAATTTGGTGATAAGTAGCAATCTGTTTGTAGTCTGCAAATTATTTTTCTTCTGTTCTCTCTTCCTCTTGCAAATTAATTTTGTGATGTTTTGTATTACCTTTGGTAAACTTTTCCCCACATTGGCATCTTTACCTTTAGAATGTGTGTTTATGTTTCCAAGTTTACAATCAAAATTCTCACTTGCTGGTTTTTGGGGACAGGTTGGGTGTGTGACTGTAAGAAAGGCCACATCTGGTATAAAGATGGGGGGCACTGGGGGCCAAGAGGGGGCTAACTTACTTGATCCTCACACAGATGTGCATTTATGCCAATTCTTAGGTCTCTGCCTGGATGTGCGTGTGCACCCCACCCACTTCTTTATGGGGTAACCACCAGCCTCCTTTCCCCACCCCCAACCACCCTGAATCTTCCAGCAGATTATCTTCCTCAGTACTTTGCCATGTAGCTGTTATCCTAGCTGAAAATTTTCAGTGCTACCTTCACCCCCTGTTATATACATGGTAAACAGCAAACATTTTAGCCAGTTTAAATAGGCCCTAATTGAGCCTTCTCATACCCAGTCTCATGTTAGTACTGAATCTGGCCCCCTTTGCTGGATGGACAGGAATATGACGTGTTGAAGGAAACATTGGCGGGACTTGACCTAACCCAAGGATCGAAGAAGATGACCGAGGTTCATGGTTCTGTGGCATCTAGAGAAGTGATGGCATTCTAAGGCCACTTTCATATCTTGGACAGACTGCAGTGTAGAATTTTATTAATTAACATTGATTACATGTCACAAATACTTAAAAAACCTAGGAACAGAGAGGAAGAAATTCACCCATAATCCCAATATCCTAATACAACTACCAATCCTTTCCCTAAATATATAACATATATTTTTATAGTTACCATCACAGTGTATATCCAATTTTGTGTTTTATTTTTATACCATTATCTGATCTATAGATCAGTAGTGGGAGCTACTCATTATTTTCATTAGCATTTCAGCGCTGATGAGCATATAAGCAAAGAGCTTTATTCTGTGTGGCCAGCAGGTGGCGCTCAAGAACAAGCTGCTCTTTCCTAGGTGGTATTGGTACTCCAGAGAGAACACTTTTTCCCTTTAAGAACAAAACACAAATTATAACCTGAAGAACTATATGAAATATTAGAGATTCTCCAGGACCTTACAAATGTGTCAAAAATCTGTATGCATGTAGGCATTTAATTTTATAGACTCATTTATTCCACTTATATTTATTGAGCAATCATGCTAGATGCCAGGCATGCAAAGGTTAATAAACTGTCTGACCTCAAGGGGTTTGGGGTGTAATGGGGAAGGCAGACTTGTAACTAGCCAGAATCCAATGTGGCAGAGGTAACGAGGGGACCCAGTGAGGAGTGAGCACCTCTTGTCCTGTGGAGGAGGAAAGGTCAAAGAAGGGTTCATAGAGGAGCTGTCAATAAAATGTAAATAACAATAACATTATAAATATAAAAAATAATTTTTTCATGGGATACAAAAGGTTATAAGATGAAACTTCTAGAGGATTTCTAGACTCCCTCCTCTAAAGCCACAGTTAACATTTTCTTTTTCCTTTCTGAAATCACTGAATAGTTTTGAATGAATATAAGCTCCGTGAGGCTGGAATGTGTTGTCTATTCTGTCCCCTGTTGAATCTCCACCCAGAAGAGTGATTGACACTTAGTAGATGCTCAGTAAATATTCGTTGAGTGAATAAATGAGCAGTGGAAAGACGTAATGAGATATTTTCTAGAAATATCACTGGCAGTGATCTGCAGAGACGATCAGATGGAGTCAGGGCTGGTGACTGGGGGAGTGAAGGTGTGCTTGTTGCAGGGTTGTAGGTGAACAAGGATGAGGCAGTAACCAGGGAAGTGGAGAGCAAAGGGGTCAAGGTGAGCTGTGTGTGGATAGGGAAGAAGCGGGACTTGGTGACTGGTTATTGAGGAGCAAGGGGACTGATTGCTTTTTGGCTTGGGTGATGGAAGATAGAGGAACAGAACTGGGTTTGGTTTCGGACATGTTGAGTTTAAGATGCCTGAGGAACATGCAGGTGGAGATGTCTAGAAGACAGTGGAATATACGTGTCTGGAGCTCAAGAGAGAGGTCTGTGCAGACAACAGATTTGCAGGTGGGTTTCTTGGACAGCCTCACCGTGCCTTATTAGTTTTGCAAATGAAAGAAATTGAGGCAAGAGAGACAGACTGCAAGTTTTTAAACAGAGCTGGTTTGCCTCAGCTGATCCGCATTCTTCATTGGAGCTGGGCTGGAATCCCAGTCTCCAGGACCCCTGCACTGCCTCCAGAGCCTGGTGGAAACACTTGGCACTAGGATGATTGCTCTGTTCTCTCACTTGATTCTTCCAATGAGTGTTTTTGTTGAATCCCTTTGAAACTCAGCAGCCAGCTCTGCATCTTAGCCAGAGGCTGAATTCTCTGTGCCAGTTTAGTCCAGGCTGCTCAGAGCTGAGCTTCTGAACTTGTTTTGCTAAGTATTAATAATAAGTAGCTGCTAATCCTGATTGGGCCTTTCTCAATTAGCTGATCTACTTGGACAGGGCCTGGACCCAACAACTCTGTGACCTTGGGCAAATGCCTTAAGCACTCTGGTCCTCAGTTTACCCTTCTGTACAGTGGAACAGAAGATCTCTCTTTCCAATGTTAGAAGAGCTGATGAATATGATATATTTAAAAACATCGTTCTAGAGCTCTTAGATGTTGTTTTTAAACAAGGAGTATCTCAGTTGCAAAATATTACACATCTGGAAAAAGCATGTTTTGTTAGCTTTGGTATCAGAAAGAAAACAATTGGCTGTAGCAAATACATTCTGAGAGGTTTCCTGAAGTGCTGGTTTGTTGTTCTGGTGGGAAGCAGGAAAAAATGATGATAATGGGTGGAATAAAGCCAGAACGTGAGGCGGGTAGGGTGGAGTGAGCTCTTACTGCTGATGAGGTAGAGCAGGTGGGAGGTCCGGCAGCCAGTTATGGCTGAGAATCCCGACAGAACAGATTTAGGAGGAACTCAGAAAGATTGCTTAGAAGTTCTGACCAAGGGTGAGGCAGTTCAAAGGACAGCAGAGGCAAGTGTCAAAGTCACTCCTATTGAAAGAAAAACTTTAGACAAATTAAAGTTAGCAGAGTTTACTTGAGCAAAGAATGATTCATGAATTGGGCAGCCCTCGAAATGTGGAGAGGTTCAGAGAGTGCCACCCAACAACTTGGGCAGACAGCATTTATAGACAGAAAAAGAAAGTGACTATGGAAACAGCTTGATTGGTTGCACTCAGAGTTTGCCTTAGTTGGGCATGGTGTGCTGAGGCATTTGTCTTATATGGATAGGGCTGATCTGTTGGCAGCCTTTGATTGGCTGAAGTTCTGCTGATGTGACTGGCTGAGACTTAGCTACTGGTCCCCTGAAATAGGCATGTAAAGCCCTTAGCCAGGGCTGGGCACAAGGTGAGGCTCGGGAAGTGGCAGCTCCTATGAGGGGCACTACCTGTGGCAGAAGCATAGGACTTCACTGCTCTGAGGGAGACATCACAGTGTTCTACCAGAGTCCCTGCCTCTTCTCCATTTCTGACTCCTCGCTTCTGGTGCCACTTGTCCTAGGGGTGTATTCATGACAGGTGACATTTGGCAGTAGTGACATAAACTGAACTGGAGCATCCTTGAGCTCCCTCTGGGTCCTGTGCTGTGCAAGCCTCTTCCTCCCCTGTCATAAGGAAGTGTGATATCTAGAACAGTGCCATCCGTCGGTGTTCCAGCCCTGCCATTCTGCTAACCTGCCTGCTTTGGCAAGTTACCGAATCTCTGTGCCTCGTTTCCTCATCTGAAAAGCGGCAGAAGTAGGACGGAGGGGATTAAAGACAGAGCGATGAACAGGCAGTCAGCACAGAGCCTCCCCACAGGACGCAGCACGGGGAGTTGTCGTTGCTGTCACCATTTGTGACTGTGGGACTCGGAGGCTGTGGTCACACACAAGGAAAGGCTGGCTCTGAGGAATGTAAAAAGATTCCATCGTTGACGGCTAGATAGAGGGAAAGACTGGATAGATGTGTGGGAAAGCAAATGCAGCTTGTGGCCCGTGTAGAATCTAGGTGGGGGCTTTGGGTGTCCACTCTTGTAATTCTTTAAGCTGTTCTTTATGTTAGATAATATTCAAAGTGAAATATTGGGTGAAGGAATTTCACCTAGCTATGGGTCTTCAGAGCTGAAAAATTCACATGGATTCCAGTAAACCGAGTTCAGTAGGATTGAAAGCAGCCCAGCAGAAGCCTACGTACTTTTGTGGGAAAGGAGTCATTCGCTTACTGGACAAGAGAGAGTGAGTGTGTGCGTGTATATATGTGTGCACGTGTGTCAGTGACAGCATGTCACTGGGTGTGGGCATGGTGGGGTGAGGGGAAGGGAGCGGCTGAGTAAATGCTCTTAACTTTTTTGTGTGTGCCCCACCTCATTCCAAAAAGAATCTGATAACTTGCAAAAGTACCTTGATTTTAAACAGGATGAAAATAAATGAAGGATAGAAATGAGCAATAGTTTATGCTCATAACACATGTCATAGGGTCTGAACACAGACTTTGAAAGAAGTGAGTGCAAAATTGGGCTGTGATACTAAAAGCACATACAATCCCACGTTCCAATTTCACTCGGTCATGGATTTTCCTGGAGACCCAAGACAGTTGGGCCTCTCCCTTCCATTGCTGATTTTAATATTCCATCAGCCAAAGCGCTTGTGAAGAATAACCCAGAAAAATAACCCAAGTACTGGACTTGAAGTAGCCGACACTGGCTGGCTCCATGTCAGCGGCTCCACCCATGTCCTTGTCTGCACCATCTTGTGTGAAGCCCCCCCCCCCCCCCCCCCGCCCTCCCCCGACCGCCTCCAGCCCTTCCTCCCCAGTGGCAGTGTTTCACAGAATTATTCTTTTAAAGCACATATGCAGTCATCTCAATTAGAGTACTTTGCTGTCTGGACAAGATTCCAAAGCATTCAGGGACCCACGGGCCTGCCTTGTCTGTAGAAATCTGGGTCTAAATAAGAATGCTCTTGAGAAAGGACAGTGCTTGATTAGGATGCTGGGAAGTGTATTTCTTGTCCTCAACAGGTAATGTACGTTTTGGAAATATGTTAAAAATACTAACTCCTATACTTTTTTCCCCTCCCTTTTCTCTCTTTTAAAATGACCTTGTTCGTAGTATATATTCTTCCAACTTCCATGCAGTGAAGAGGGAATCAGATGGGGCTCCCGGGGATCTCGCTAGCTTGGAGAACGAAAGACAGATTTATAAAAGTGTTTTGGAAGGTGGTGACATCCCTCTTCAGGGCCTCAGTGGGCTCAAGCGGCCGTCCAGCTCGGCTTCCACTAAAGGTAATTACCTGGGTGAAGCCTGCGGGCCTGTGTCCCATCCACCCCCGTTTACTGAGCGTCAGCAGCGGGCGGTATGTCCTCCAGCAGCGGGGATACGCCTGCTCGTCCAGATCTATATTGAGGCCTGGAGCATCTGATGGTCCTTCCCGTTTTCTCACCGGCCATTTTTCTTTCTGGTATTAGAAGTTCCCTTCCTTTGAACCCCTAACCTTGCTCTCCATGAGGCATCTCTCTCTCTTTCTCTTTTGTTCTAATTCCCTTTTCTTAGAAATTAGCTGAGCTTTAGCCATTCCTTACTCCAGCGGGGTGGCCTTTTTTTTGTTGTTGCATCTTTGCACCTGCTTTGCAGCACAGATTATTTTGCTTCCGGACATCAACTGGAAATTTTTTAAAAGCCCTTATGACAAATGAGCATGTTACCTCTCCTTTATTTTTTAAGCAGCTTTCAGCTTTAACCTAATGGGTGTGTTTATTTTATTCTGCATGCTTACCAGTGGATCGTAAAGGTGGGAATGCTCACATGATTACTTCATCTTCAGTTCATAGCCGAACACTTAACACTAGCAGTGCGTTAGGCCCTGTGTGTAAGCACAAGAAGCCCCTGTCAGCCGCGAAAGCCTGCATTTCGGAAATCCTTCCTTCCAAATTCAAACCCAGGCTCTCTGCTCCCAGCGCTCTTTTGCAGGAACAGAAGAGTGTCCTGTTGCCCTCGGAGAAGGCTCAGAGCTGTGAGAACCTTTGTGTTTCAGTTTCTTTGAATGATTCTAAAAGAGGCCTCCCCCTCCAAGTGGGGGGCAGCATCGAGAACCTGCTCATGCGCTCCCGGCGGGATTATGACAGCAAGTCGAGCAGCACCATGAGCCTCCAGGAGTACAGCACCAGCGCCAGGAGGCCCTGCCCTCTCTCTCGAAAGGCTGGGATGCAGTTCACCATGTTGTATCGGGACATGCACCAGATCAACCGAGCTGGCCTCTACCTGGGATCCATTTCCTCCTCTAGCGTGCGGGATCTTGCCTCCCACTTTGAAAGGAGCAGCCTGGCGCTGGCCAGGGGCGAGCTGGGCCCCAGCCAGGAGGGCTCAGAGCACATCCCCAAGCACACCGTCTCCTCCCGCATCACTGCTTTTGAGCAGCTGATTCAGCGGTCGCGATCCATGCCGTCCCTGGACCTATCTGGCAGGCTAAGCAAGTCTCCCACACCAGGGCTGCCCCGGGGCGGCCTGACCTCAGCCCGCTCAGCCGAGTCCCTCCTTGAGTCCACCAAGCTCCATCCGAAGGAGATGGACAGAGTGAACTCCGGCGGGGTCTATGCCTCCCCAGCGTGCAGCGATATGGCGGACCACACCTTGGGCTTCAGGGGCCTCGTGCCTTCTGAGCCCCTCTCCACCTGCTCCGATGACCTGGACCACTGTTCAAACGCCTCCAATGACAGCAGAGAGGGCAGCAGTGGCAGCGTTCATGGGGACTTCCCCAAACATCGCCTCAACAAGTGCAAGGGCACCTGCCCAGCCTCGTACACCCGCTTCACCACCATCCGGAAGCATGAGCAGCAGCAGACCCCCAGACAGCCCGACTGGCGCCTGGATTCCAGAGGGGACAAGAGCACCCTCCTCAGGAACATCTACCTAATGAGCCCCCTCCCTTTTCGGTTGAAAAAGCCCCTCCAGCACCACGCCAGACAGCCTTCCCTTGGTGACTCCTCCAGCCTCCCGGTGGGCCAGAAGCCAGACCTCCCCAGCCAGCCCCACCAGGACCAGCCCTCTGCGGGGAAGCCCTTGGTTCCCATACGCGTGTCTTCCCGCCACACCATGGCCAGGCTTGGCCGCAGCTCAGAGCCCCCTCGGGAGAGACCCTCGGTCCCGGAGGACTTCCCAAGGGCCATTAATAATGGGAACTCCGTGCCACACTCAGACCACGGCCTGGACAGGAACAACAACCCCCACAGTGAACTGGCACCACCCTGCGGAGGTGGCATTCTGTGTATTTGACTAGTCTCATCCCCCGTCTCTCCACCTTGCTTGCTTTGTCCCCCTTGGTGTGCCCTTGGTGTTCACTTTCTGGTCTGTCCTTTGTTTTCTGTTTGTTTTGCTTGGCAACTGATCATGGCTCGTAGTGGCTGCTCTTCTTTAAAAACAAAGCCCCCCCCCCCATGTCATTTAGACTAACCACCAAACTGTGTTTCGAAAGAAAAATTGGCCGTTTAGCTCATCCAAGAGGTCTGTTCACTTGAACTCTTGAGCCCCTTGCGGTTTGCACCAAGCCCCTGCTCACCCCGTGGTTTTTTGAGAGGCAGCCTCCCATGGCCCTGTGTGTGCTAGTGTGCGGTTTGTCCCTGTGAGACCCTGCACGCCTCTCTGTAGGGACGCCTCCCTCTCTGCTCACCTTTCGCCTTCTGGTTGGTTTTCTTTGTATTAAACCAGTTCGCAAGTAAATCTGGAAAGCGGGGATGGGGGGAAGATTTGAGTTTTTTCCCTTCAGAATTTGATTATTGATCGTTAATCAACAATTATGAAAACTTGATATTTATAGTAGATGAAAGGTGAAATCTTTTCCCAACCTGGTTTCCTACTAAATCTTTGCCTGTTTTAACTCTACTCTGTTGTTTTGAAGATTCAGAATCACCAAGGCATTTTATACCAGCTGATTACTTGGAATCCACAGAAGAATTTATTCGAAGACGTCATGATGATAAAGAGGTAAATCCCATTTTTTAAATCTCTTAGCTCTTGCTCGGCAAAAAGTACGAGGGAAGTAAACATTCTAGATGTCTCTCAGAGAGGTGACATGATCTGGTAATTGTAAGCAAAGATTGGGACTTTCATAAGTGGCTTTTTATATGATACAGCCTCAATCACTCCTCTTTTAGTCTACTTTTCCAAAAAAGTAGGACTGATTTCCCCATAAGGACTAGGTTATGAAAGCCAAGTCCAGCCAGCACTGCTGCATAGGGAGAAACAGTTTGCCCACTCCTGCGTTCAGTGCCTTATAAGCTGGAAACGGGCCTTTGCTCTTTCGTCCCCCTCTCAACCTCCCCCACGTTCTCTAGGTAAATCCACCCACGTGCTTCTTCAGTACAATACCACACACCCCCTATTAGTACAAAGCACAGTTCAAATTGGAAAGGATTCAGTAGAAGAAAGAGGAAAATGAAAAATAGTAATGGCCACACTACATTTTATAAAAGAATTCAAGGGAGTTGCCTATAACTCTGTTGCCTTTAGCTCAGAAGAGGGCAGATACCCTAATAAACATTGGTAAATCCTAGCCAAGAACTTCAGAATGTGGATATTTTCGTGCAGCTACTGAGATGTCTGTCTGCAGTGGTGTGACTGGCAGGGCCTAGAACCCATTCTCCTGTGGATTTAGGAAGAGGTAGTTCTTCCTATCAGCCAAATGGGCTAATCTCAAGCTTCTGCTGTGATAAAGTATTGTTATTGTGTACACTTCTGGACTTCACATTCCCCCAAAGAAAGGGTCCTATAGTCGAACCCAAAGAGATGGAAAAATCACCTTGAATGGGTGGCAGTAAGGGAGGGTGTTCATTACACACAACTCTGTCCCATTCCCTTTAAAGTCTGAAGCCCTTTTTCTTTGTTGTTCTGTATTGTTGAGTGGTTCTAGAGTTTAGGTGAAGCCTCCTTAAGGATTTAGGCTGAGGCTGACTTTGGGAGGAGCTGGATGATAATAATCATTGCTGCCAGATGATGAGACAAAAGACAAAAAGGAAACCACTGTACTTTCCCCATCTCCAAGCACAATCAGTGTTCAATAAGACACTTACACCTGTCCATGGAAAGAAACAAGAGGAAGTATATAATACACAGTCATCATTTGTAATCACTCACTAATGATGAGTCTCCATCAGACCACAGAACAGATTCATCTCTGTATCTCTGTAGCTCTTTGTTAAGTATTTGCTGTCACCAAGATACAAAATTTCCATGGAGGTAGGCCTGGGCTACTATGACGAAGGAAGATGAAATTCCATTTTAGTTATACAAAATGGAATTTTTTGAGTACTACCCTAGTACCCAACATGGAAGGTTTCGTGGGAGAATTCTTGCCTACCACACGGGGCATATTTTACTTACGTGGTTTAGCAATTGATATATTACAAGTTGCATGTAGAAGGTGAACGGTTTGTTTCCTGAATAATATTGGCTGATAGATCCTTAAATTTTTATGTCTTTGTGGTTATTGGATTATGTGGTTAAACTATAGGCCCAATGGATTTACTGAGGTCGGATTCAAGTACTGGGTTGAGAGCTTTGCCCCCTTCAATGCCCACTTCCACTGATTATGTTGGGCCCTGGCCAGAACACACCAGGGTATTGAGCAAGGACTGTGGTAGCTTCAAGCATCAATCCTTTCCCATCGTTACAGCAACAGCTCGCAAGGCCCAGCTAATGGGGCGTCAGTCCCCTATGCGAATGCTTTATCATTAACATGGATGATAATGGCATTTCAGAAAATGAGAACATGTCAGTGCTGGAAGGGCTTTAGTGGTCATCTAGCCAATCCCCTTGTTTTGTCCAGGAAAGGATCACAGCAGGGTGGCAGCTTACCAGGGCCACATAGTAAGTTAACCTATTCCAGCAGCAGAATGGGAAACCAGGGCTCCAGATTCTTGGGCCAATGCTCTTTCCATGGCACTGTGCTTTCCAGAGGAGTTCCCATATCTTTTCTCATGTAATCTTTATAGCAACTTTTCTGAGCACTAGAAATCCCACAGCAATTTGATGAGTTACCACTTTGTAGACTGTGGAGAAAAATCTGGCCTACTATCCTTTAGGGCTAGAGTCACATGAGACATTTAATTCCCTGCTGGAAGAAGACTGATGTTTTACTGAGCATGCTAAGAATTACCGGTTCTGCCGAGCATGGTGGCCCATGCCTGGAGTCCCAGCGACTCAGCAGGCTGAGATGGGAGGATCATTTGAGCCCAGGAGTTTGAGGTTGCAGTGAGCTATGATCATGCCACTGCACTCCAGCCTGGGCAAAAGAGTGAGAGTCTATCTCTAAAAATAAAAAGAATTATCAGTTCTAATTAATGCTTTCCTGTAAGGGAAGTTAATCCCAGGAAGGTAAGATTGCTATGGTACAAGAACACATATTAAAATGCTATTCCATGAGGTCATTTCCACAGGCAGTGAAGGCATTTGGTGAAAATCAGCACTGTTTGATAATTTTTAACGGTTTTTAAAAATAGAAATAGATGACTATAGAGAGAATATTTCTTCTAACCCCAGGTACCATTATTCTTAGTTTATTTTCTATGTTAAAATATATCATTCCTTTAAACTCAGCTTCATTTCACTTAACGGAAAAATAGTTCAGTAAGAAAGTAACTGATGTTCTCTGTGAACCACATAAATAGCCTTTGGTGCATATACTAAGCCTCCTGAAAATTGTGCCCAGGGAAAGAATCAGCTGGCCTGGGAGAAGAAGTGCCATATTTTCTGAAATGGCTGTATTCTGTGGGGAACATATCAGAGTAATAAACACAGGAAGCACAAAAATGACCTAGTTGCCATAGAGCTTCCCTGTGGCAAAGCCCATATATAATAGCAGCTTTACCGGGCCTGGTCCCACCATGGGAGTACACTGTGGGAGCGTATCACTGCCTAGGTGAGTAGAGATGGCACTTCAGCCTCCTGCTGCCAGCCCAGCATGCTTGGCAATGCCCTGGATGTGCCCCGGGATTACCTTGCCTTTGCTGACAGGGCACAGGAGGCTTTTGGCTGAGCCAGGGGATAATTTTCCAGCTGGTGTAATCATATGGAATCTTCCCTCCCTACATCCCAGCTTCCCCAGGTTTCTCCCGCGGTGCTGTCTCCTTCCTACCTGCTCGGAGGGTGGTCACAGTGGGAGCATAGTAGCTGTGGCCAAAAGCCCTGCTGACAGCTGATCCTTAAAAAGTCTCCTCCCTTTCACCCGCCTCCTTCCTTAGTTGCTTTTATTGGCAGTTTTCCACTACCCTGGACCAGATGATTCACTGCCCATTTTATGCAATTTTATGGCAGAAACTTTTAGCGGACCAGAGACGACTTAAGCGCGAGCAAGAAGAGGCCGATATCGCAGCTCGACGCCACACGGGCGTCATCCCGACGCACCATCAGTTTATCACTAATGAGCGCTTTGGGGACCTTCTCAATATAGACGATACTGCAAAAAGGAAATCTGGGTCAGAGGTCTGTTTTGGTCGCCTCAATCTGCTGCTTGACCCAAAGCAACATCTGCCTCCCCTCAGCATTGCCCTCTGTAGGCCGGTCTAGTTCTCCAAGCAGCGTCTGTCATCCTGGCTTCCCCTAGGCTTGCTTTGGCTCCTTGTGGCTGGTGAATGGACACGACCGCCATTACGCCCTGTGCTCTGTATGTTCAAGCATGCCTGGCTGGGGACCGGGATCTGCTGGCGCATACCCCTAATGCATGCCTTAGAGCATCGGCTGCCGTCATGAGTCCAGTCCTCCACATCTGCATTTTATCATGATACCGTGTTGCCTGTGCATTCCGCTCAGAAACCTTGTATCTTAGTCCATATGCATTGGTGGCTATGGTGTGGACAATTATAAGATTCTTCTTTGAAGAGATGGTTAATGAAACTTATTTTACAAAAGTTGATACTTATGTCATTTACAAAAAGGCACCCAAAATTAGTGACATGAATATTGAAATATCAGGGGACAACACTGCCATTCACATATAGATGGATTAATTAATCGCATTACACATAAGGTAGTGCTCAAGCACCTCACTGAAGAATTTTAAGGCCCAAAGACTCTTAATGGTTAGGGTAAAACCCACAGAGGAGGTGAGAACTCTCCAAGGGGCATTTCATTTATTCCTTTAATTTTGACATTTTTAAGCTTAGATTATGAAAGCGTAACAGTAATGAAGAAGAGCAAACCTTTGAAGTAATTTTATCTAAGTCTTGACCTGCTGTGCTAAGGTCAACATGTTAAAATTCCTGTGTTGGCCAAATGCTGCATCTTGCTAAGAGCTTATGCTTTGCCACGTGACCCTTAAGTAGCTTTGCTAAAGAAGATCTTTGGGGGGAGGTTTACATGTCTGGGCTTGGGGTGGGGGGTGGGGGATGGTAAAATGACACCCAAAGTATTGTTGTATAACCTTTCGATGTAGTAGATTAATATGTTTCTATCTTTTGAGTAATAGAGGCATCATTGGCTTTTTTTTTTTTTTAAGAAATAGAAAGTGGGAAGAAGAGAGAGAGAAAAAAAGGGAAACATTAAAAGAAGGAAAGCTAGGGAGGGGAAGACTCTAAAGTGATGGAGAAAAAGGAAATGTAACAAGGAAGAAGCAAAAGTTTGCAAGTGTTACTCAGTTGCAAGGGAAAGACAACCTCACCCTCAACATCCCAGCTCCTCCCCAAAACGGCCCTGTTCGAAGGCTCTGGTGAAGGTTTGTCCTTACACACAGGCCTACCCACTTGTAGGTGGAAGATGAGGAGCACACACAGCGACACTGTACGGCTGCACACTTACACCTGTAGGTAACACGTGCAAACACAAATGCAACTCTAGCAGAAGAACCTCGGACAGAGGCAGGAAGTCCCTCCCCGATAGCTAGGCTGCCTCCCTTCTAGAGCAGTGGTTCTCAGACTTGACTGTAAATCAGAACCCCCTGGGGGGCTTGTTAAAATAGAGACCCCAGTCCCTCTGCAAAGATTTCAAATCTGTGGAAAGGCCTGAGAATTTGTATTTCTAACAGCTTCCTAGGTGATGATGATGCCAGTTTAGGGACCACATTGTGAGAATCACTGCCCTAGACTTTGACTGATGGGCTTAAGAAAGTAGAGACCAACAGTGCCAGCTGCACCGTGCTATGTTGGTGTACTTTGGTCCCGTTCATTAGAACTTGGGTGGCTACTTGTTCTGTGCAAGACCCTATGGGAGGCAGATGGGGCTCAGTCTATGCCCCACTACTCAGCTGGTAGTGGAAGAGTCTCCCTCGTATACAGTTATCTCTGTCCTATAGTAGGTAATGCCATGCTGTGAAAGCCCGAGCAGTGAGAGATGGATTTGGTCTCGGGAGCTATAGGAAGATACTGGTACAGAAGAAGATACTGCTGCTTTGTATGACCATTGATAAATCAATACATCTGTCTCAGGAGTTCAGTGGAATCAGTGTTTCTCAACCTTGAGAACCTTCAATGAAAAAAAAAAATTTACCAGTCCCCATTACTGACCTAAGCCAATTTACAAATTAAATATATACTATATAATTGTATTTATTTAGTTGATAGATGATATTGTTTTGACAGAATTTAACTACCATTCAAAGTGTGAATATGGTGCTGCTTTGGTATAAATTTTTTTTTAAGTTTATATAGTTCTACAGTTGGGTGACATGGGGTAACCTACTCTCGTGCACTTTTTTCTATTGGAATTACTTTGAAATTTTTATCCTTACAATTTTGGTCATTTGGCCTTCCCTTGTGAACTTGTCATTTGTCATTAACCCCACGTCCATTCTTTTCTTGTTCACTACAACTGTCAAATTATGCTCTTTGTCTGTTATAGACAGACACAAATGCAGGCCCCTAATATGTACAGTATAGATAGATAGATGGAAATATCAATGCGAAAATGCAAAATTAAAAAATTCCTATGGAGAATTCATGATCCCTACAAAGATCTCTATAAGACCTCAGCTTACAGAGCCTGAAAATATGGGGCATATCACTGAGGGATTAAAATATAAAGCCATGCTTCACGAAGCCTTTAAATATCATTGTTTTCTCTCTGAGAATATTCCATTTTCCCTCCTCTTTGTGCATACTCTCTAATATTAAAGAGGGCATGTGCAATCTCATTTTCATCACCTTGTTTCCCTACCCCCAAAGGTCATAGCTGTTGAAGTTGGAGCTGCTCATAGTATTTCTCCCCCTTACCTTCTTTAAAAACAATGGTGAACTAGCACCTCTTATCCAAACTCACAACTAATGGGCGTAGAGTGTACTATCTGGGGGATGGGCACGCTTGCAGTTCTGGCCTGGGTGGTGCAAAGCCAATATATGTAACCAAACTGTTTGTACCCCCATAATATTCTGAAATTTAAAAATAGAAAAAAAAAATTGGTAGGCCGGGCGCTGTGGCTCACGCCTGTAATCCTAGCTCTTGGGAGGCCGAGGCGGGCGGATTGCTCAAGGTCAGGAGTTTGAAACCAGCCTGAGCAAGAGCGAGACCCCGTCTCTAAAAAAAAAAAAAAAAAAAAAAAGAAAAAAAAAATTGGTTAAAAGAACTGCTTTTAAAGGTAGGGAAGAAAAATATGCAAATGAATATAAGTGAAGGTGAACTTCTTACTGAAATTGGAGATGAAGGAAATTCCTGAGGGTGAAGGGGGTTTAGCAGAGGTGTGGCAAGTAGATTTGCCTGATTGAAACAGGAAGAGCATGCTAGAGATAAAGGCCAGAGTGGTGAGGAATTAACCCACCACAGGGATTGAGATTTGATCTGGGGGACAGTGGAGACCCCCAGCCAACTTCAAAGCTAGGAAGAATTTGAGGAATGTTATTTGTGCTCCTGGATGATAGTTATTAGGGTGAAGTCAAAGGAAGCTTTGTGCCTGTGGGAACTGGAGGTCAGACCTGAGCAACCAGGGTTTTGGAGGGAGGGAAGGAGGCAAACCCAGCGTGACTCAGCAACAGACTAGATGAGGTCGTGGGGACAGGGCTGAGGCTGCCTTCCAGATCTGGGTGTGTGCCGTGAGGGCTACCCAGGAGGAATGGGTTCATTTGATCTCAGGGATCACTTTATCTGGCTTTTTAGATGATCTCACAAACCAGAACAGTACAGGGGATTGAAGATGATGTGAGAAGTGAATCATTTACCTGCAGGTCATACTTTAAGTCAGGCAAATAGATATCTCTGAAGAGTAAGATAGTAGATAAGGAACATTTTAGGACTTCTGGCTGACTTTTTTTTAATAGCCATGGTCAGCATGTTTTGGGGAACCAGCACTTTGGCTTTGGGACTTTTTCTAACCATCTCTTCTCCAAACCTGGCTCTCCTTAGGGGGACTCTAGCAATGCATGACATTATTGACTCAACATCCATCTAGTATTCTACCAAGGTCAGACAACTGAAATTTTGCTCAGATTCTATACTAGAATGAACCGGTTAGGGAGAATTTTTCTGCTTTGCTTTCCAGAAACTTGTGAAAATGTACATGAAATGTCCTTTTTGTTGTACATGAATCCTGATTTTTGACTTGTCGTTGTTTCTTGTGTTTAGATGAGACCTGCCAGAGCCAAATTTGACTTCAAAGCTCAGACACTAAAGTAAGTGCCACAGTCACCTTTATTTGTCGCCTTTGCTGCCTCTTTGAAATACAGCAGTTCACTTGTAGAGTTGAAGAAATAACAATGATTTTTAAAAAGTAGTTTATAGAGTTTGCTATGTATGAAACACTGTTCACAGTACTTTGCATATGTTAACTCATTCAGCTTTCACAGTAACCCTACGGAGAGGGTACCTTTATTATCCTCACAAATAAAGAAACCAAAGGACTAGAAGGTTAAGGAACTTGCTCAAGCTGTTAAGTGGTGGAGCTGGGATTCAAACTTAGGCAGCTTGGCACCACAGGTTGGGCTCTTATATACTGTGCCACCCTGCCTCCCTCTATGTGAGGCTCAGTCTGCTTGATTAAGTGGTGACTCAGCTCGATCTGACCCACCCTTTCTATAAAAGATCCAGACCGGGCTCTAGGAAGATAACTAGTTTTGCTACAGTATCCCAAGAGATTAAAGGCTTGTGGAAACCCTTTTTGTGGCGTTTTTCTAAGTGCATTCCCCAGAGTGCTAGCCTTGTAGTGTTTCTCAAAAAGAGGGTTGTGTGGTAGAAGTGAGTTGAAGAAGCACTGCATGCTGTATCCATACCTTGCAGAGATACTTTGCTATTAGCATATTAATGGCTCTAGAAGTCTTTCAAGGAAGAAACTTGATTAGCTTATTGAGCCCAGTGTTTTCTAAATTTAAGTGACCAGGAAATCTTTATATTTTCCTTGGAACACAATTTGGGAAATACTACCAAAGACTGGGTTGCAAAAGGAACCTGCTGGTTTTATATCTAATTGTGGGCTAAAATGGGCTACGAGTTTTTATTGGCAGTTGAAATGCGGTGAGCAGCCATTCCGTTGTCCTGCGGATTGAAGGCCCCACGTCTGGTGACGAGAGGGAGCACTGCCCATCCTCAGGTGCTGGGGAACGCGGTGTGGAGGCTAAGCAACCGTGGTTCTGGTCTCCAGGACAAGATGAGAGACCAGGCCACAGTGTGCAGAACTCAGCACAAATCTGCTGTACTTGGGTTTGATTGTATTACTCCAGTCCTTCTGCTCATCAGCTAAAGGAGGTGGCTGTGTAATATACTATAAAGATTTCGGGCTTCCAAATCAGGAAGTCCTGGGTTCAAATTCTGACTGTGCCACTGTCTCTGTGACTGTAGTCAAGTTATCAACTTCTCTGACTCTCAATTTTCCTTATCTGTAAGGTGAGAATAAAAATGCCTCTCTTGGCCGGGCGTGGTGGCTCACGCCTGTAATCCTAGCTCTCTGGGAGGTCGAGGCGGGCAGATTGCTCGAGGTCAGGAGTTCGAAACCAGCCTGAACAAGAGCAAGACCCCGTCTCTACTATAAAAATAGAAAGAAATTAATTGGCCAACTAATATATATATATAAAAAATTAGCCAGGCATGGTGGCGCATGCCTGTAGTCCCAGCTACTCGGGAGGCTGAGGCAGAAGGATTGCATGAGCCCAGGAGATTGAGGTTGCTGTGAGCTAGGCTGACGCCACGGCACTCACTCTAGCCTAGGCAACAAAGCGAGACTCTGTCTCAAAAAAAAAAAAAAAAAAAAAAAAAAATGCCTCTCTTACAGGGAGGCTGGGGTAATACCTATAAAACATTTTGTACAGTATAGCAAAAATCAGTACTCAAAATATGTTCTCCTCCCTCCTTTGTTCTTTGTAACCAGGGAAGTTAATAGAGATATATAAATTAATTTGCAGTTCAATCAAATAGATAACCTTTTTTCTTTGAATTGAGAAAGGTCCCTGTAAGATTCATTGAATGGCATAGTGATGATGATAATATATTTTCCTAGATGTCATTTAAAAGCCTTAAAACATTTTTTTAGAGCAACCCTGTCAAATAGAACAGGTGAGAAAGCTGAGATCCACAGAAGTTGTCACTGTTTATCAACATCACTAATGCTCGAGAGAGAGTTCCTTCCTCCTGACTCAGTGTTTACATCATAACACCCTGCCTCTATAAAAGTCAGTTAAAAAAAGACTAAATGCCAGATCCTTAAAGACTCTTTTAAGCCCTTCAGTCACTCAGCTTTACATTTTCCCATAGTAAGCTACCCAAAAAAGTGTGCTCTGAAAACACTTGGTTCAACAAAGTTAAACAGATTTCTTTCCTCCTGGACTTCTCAGAGCCTCTGCTGTGCTAATGCACACAGTGATGCTCCAGATAAGATCTTAAGTGGATCGAGTTATTGTTCCCCAAACCTTCTCACCACCAGACCTGGTCACAAGGTTCTTCCAGAGCTGGTGGGGTTGGAGGGGTGGTCATAGTACTGGAAGGATGGCGGCCCCAGGCACCCCAGGGTATGTCTCCATTGGCCACGACTGCAGACCCCTCACGCTCATCTCTCTAACGTGAGTTGTCCTCCTTTGCTTAGCTCGGGGACCCTCACGGCTCTCACCTGCTTCCACAGCTGTGAGACACGTGGGGCAGAGTTAGGAGCCTGCGGATCTCCAGCAGGGGCAGATAAGCTGAGGGTCTTGTTCATCTGTGTGCCCGTGGTTGAGGGGGAAGTGGGGGGGAATTCAGAACACCCCCAAGGAGGGCTATGGCAAAAATTTGGCCAGAGACATTCCTTCTCCCAGAGATAAGTGTCCAGATCCCCTCACAGGCCTCTCCAGTCTACCAGTGTGAGCCCCACAAAGGCCCCCTTGTGCTTTTATTCAGCACAGAGCTCACTGTGTGTGAAGTTTTCCAGACGTGCCCCGTTGTGAGACACCCCTCATGTACCGTGGACTTCTGGCACACTCCTTCCAAGTTACGATCAGAGTCCTTTCTTTCCATGCTCTTGGTTTGACACCCATGTAAAAGATCTAGTAATTCAAGAAAATTTCGAGTTACAATTTTTGTTATGCTTTTAAGTTTTCATTTTGTTTGAAATTTCTTTTTTTTTTTTTAAAGGAGTCCTAGTTAGATGTTAATATCATTATTGAGGCAAGCAGAGGAATGGATATGAAAAAGTTGAAGAAAGCACGAAGAGCATTTGAAAGAAAATCCACTTTTCTTTCCAAGATCCCTTTTCCATGTTCATGTTAAAAAGGAAGGGGATTAACATTTATTGGGTGTTAACTGTGTAGCAGGCACCAAGCTGGGTGGGTGTTTTATTTCCAGTTTGTAGCTGCGTTCTCCAATGATTCTGAGTTATCTCCTATGCTCAGTATAAGAAATGGTGTCTCAGACTTGCCCAAGGTCCCAGAGTTGGTAAATCATAGAGCTGGGTTGTGAACCAGATCGGCCTAACTTCAGAGCCTATGGCATGATGGAAAGGTGGATGGTGACATGTGTGAGTGGACAGATGGTTCAATGGAGGGAATGATAGAAGGATGTCAATGTATCACAATAATTTGAGGATACTTAAAAGCAATGAAGGCATGCCTTGCTAAGGCATAGGAGAGGGTAACGAATGTCTCCAGAGGAGGCATTTTTCATCATTTAACAAACACCGGTTAAGACTGCTGGGTATGTTGCTGTGTGTCGCATAAATATTCTGAGCATAAGACAGCATTCACAAAAAATGCACTGAGAAAACCACTACAAGCTAATAAGGCCTCTGAGCACTTTCAAGTGCCAATCAGCTTAAATGTTAACACTTATCCCGCAGATGACTGGAAAAATGCCAGATGTGATGTGATTTCCTGAATAATGGGGCTCTTACTTCCAAATGTGGAGCCCCCTCTTCTGGAATTTGTCCCCCTTGGCCCCCACTTGAAGGCTCCTTTTGCTAAAAAACTGAAGTGTCTTCACCTTACACATATTAACACATCTGCTAAAATGCCATGACCCTCTGTCGACAGGGAGCTTCCTCTGCAGAAGGGAGATATTGTTTACATTTATAAGCAAATTGATCAGAACTGGTACGAAGGAGAACACCACGGCCGGGTGGGAATCTTCCCACGCACCTACATCGAGGTACCGCAGCCCCTTTTCTTTCTAAGGAAAAGCCCATTCGTGCCCCAAGCACCATTTATTTACCGGGTACTTGTGTTTTGTTTCCTCCTTTGCCTCTTGTTCCCCCACTTTTTTCTCTTTTCCCTTTCTCTTTTGCCTCTTGTCCTTTCTCAGCTTCTTCCTCCTGCCGAGAAGGCTCAGCCCAAAAAGTTGACACCAGTGCAGGTTTTGGAATATGGAGAAGCTATTGCTAAGTTTAACTTTAATGGTGATACGCAAGTAGAAATGTCCTTCAGAAAGGTAAGCTGCCCTTCCCTGCCTTGCCTTGGGGCTCTTTTGGATGACGGACGCTGTGGGGAATGTGGTGTTGCTCTGGCATGCCAGTCTAGGGGTGCTGTCCGTGCCCTAAGAGACGTATGCCAATCAAGAGCTGCATTAAGGGCAGTTGGAGAATGTTCTTAGGTGAGGTATTTTTTAAATGAACCCTAGGCTAGTGTCAGGCCATAACTACATTGAGTTCACTGATTAAAAGTAGTATTTCTGGAGTCTTAGACATCTTTTTAAACTATATTTAACCAACATTTAGCGGACACTTAATGATGTGATGAGCACTGTGTTGGTGACTAGGGTTTATAATATAGTGATGTGGCCTGGTGGAAAACACAAGTTCATTGATACCAGAAGCTTGAAAAGCTTCGAACCCAAAAGTCACATGTCATCAGCTATGAAGACTGTGGGAGTTCAATACTTTTAAACAGCTCTCTCCTAGGGTAGTTCCAAGAAGCTTAGGTGAAACAAAGTATGTGAAGCCCCCAGCATGACACGTGGCATCTGATTTGTGCTCAGTAAACAGAAGTAATATTATCATTATGACTGCCTTTGAGGACTCAATATGCTTATTTTGAACACAATTACACTGTGCAAAGGAATTGTTCTTTCCAGAAATTCAAACACTCTCTCTACATGTCAAAATTCACTGGCTTGCTAAACTTATTAAAGTTACCGATTTTATTTAGGATTGAGGGACATAAGCACATGCCTTGGAAAATGACGAGCCACCTAATGTGAAAGAGAAACCCTGGAAGCAACCAAATTGCCCAACAGCAGGGGATCAGTAATTAAATCATTATATGTGTGTACAACAGAATATCTTGCAGTGGTCCATGAAGCTGTGCAATACCATTAATGATGTAGGATTATATTTCTTGATACGAAGGAGCTTCATTATAAGTTGTTAAATATTATTAAAAAGAAAGTTGGAAAAGGGAAATATAGTGTTAGGTTGGTGCAAAAGTAATTGAGGTTTTAGTATTGTTGAAATTTGCCATTTGAAGGCTGCACGTGGTGCCTCACACCTGTAATCCTAGCACTCTGGGAGACTGAGGTGGGAGGATTGCTTGAGCTCAGGAGTTTGAGACCAGCCTGAGCAAGAATGAGACCCCCATCTCTACCAAAAACAGAAAAATTAGCTGGGCGTGGTGGCGCATGCTTGTAGTCCCAGCTACTCAGGAGGCTGAGACAGGAGGATCACTTGAGCCCAGGAATTTGAGGTTGCTGTGAGCTAGGCTGATGCCATAGCACTCTACTTAGGGCAACAAAGTGAGACACTGCCTCAAAAAAAAAAAAGACAAAACAAAAGAAATTTGCCATTTTATATTGGAATACATTCTTAAATAAATGTGGTTATGTTATACATCATTTTAATGTGCATTTCTTGCTTTATGTTTCTTTGCTAATGAGTTATTACTTGCTATTTTATATTTATTTTAGACTATGGAAATAATGTTAGACAAAAAGCAAATTTGAGTGATTTTTCTTATTCAAGTTCAAAATGGGTCATAAAGCAGCAGAGACAACTCACAACATCAGCAAGGCATTTGACCCAGGACTGCTAACTAACGTATAGTGCCATGGTGGTTCACGAAATTTTGCAAAGTAGACGAGAGCCTTGAAGATGAGGAGCACAGTGGCCAGCTGTCAGAAGTTTACAACAACCAGCTGAGAGCAATCAATCATCGGAGCTGATCCTCTTACAACTACACAAGAAGTTGCCTAAGAACTTGGCAAGGTCGACCATTCTGTGGTCTTTTGGCATTTGTAGCAACTTGGAAAGGTGAAAAGGCTTGATAAGTGGGTACCTCATGAGCCGACCAAAAATCAAAAAGATTGTCATTTTGAAGTGTCACCTTCACTTATCAAACACAACAACGAACCATTTCTCGATCAGATTGTGATATGCGATGAAAAAAGGAGTTTAGACCACAACCGGTGATGACTAGCTCAGTGGTTGGACCAAGAAGCAGCTCCAAAGCACTCCCAAAGCCAAACTTTAACCAAAAAAAAGGTCATGGTCTTTGTTTGCTCATCATTACACTTGAGAAGTATGCTCAGCAAATTGATGAGATACACCAAAAACTGTAATGCCTGCAGCTGGCATTGGTCAACAGAAAGGGCCCAGTTCTTCTCCACGACAACACCCAACCACAGGTCATACAACCAACATTTCAGAAGTTGAATGAATTGGGCTATGAACTGTTGCCTCATCCGCCATATTCACTTGACCTCTCGCCAACCGACTACCACTTCTTAAAGCATCTCAACAACTTTTTGCAGGGAAAATGCTTCTACAACTAGCAGGATGCAGAAAATGCTTTCCAAGAGTTCATCACATCCAGAAGCATGGATTTTTATGCTACAGGAATAAACAAACATATTTCTCATTGGCAAAAATGTGTTGATTATAATGGTTCCTATTTTGATTAATAAAGATGTCTTTGAGCCTAGTTATAATGATTCAAAATTCACCGTCTGAAACTGCAATTACTTTTGCACCAACCTGATACGTACTTAATTTTCACAAAAAGTGTGTGCAAGTCTAATTTACATTCATAGAATTAAATCTGGGGAGTACATATGTCAAAATAATAATAGTAATTATTCCCGTGACAGTATGATGGATAATAATCCAATTTATGTTTGTGTTCTGAGTTTTCTATAATCATGAAAAAATAAAGTTATAAAAAGAAAGAAAAAAAGATAACCTTCAAAACCTTTGACTTAGAGATGAAAATAATTTGTCAGATTTGTATTAAATGAGTTGATAACACTACATTTGCCTTCCAATTTAGGAGCATGAGTCTGATCTTCTCTTTTACTCAAATATTTAAAGACCAGGCTTAACTTTCCAGCATACAGGTAGCTCTACTCCCATCAGCATCCGCATCCCAGTGGTGTTAATTCCATCCAGGTCCAACAGGAAAGGTTTTTCCTGAACCAGAAAAATGTGATCAATAATGTAGGACGTTGCAGGGTGCAGGCAGGGGCCTCAGATGTGCTATGGCGTCTTGAGACAAGGACCCTGACCTTGCTGTGTCTTGCAGGGCGAGAGGATCACACTGCTCCGACAGGTGGATGAGAACTGGTACGAAGGAAGGATCCCGGGGACATCACGACAAGGCATCTTCCCCATCACCTATGTGGACGTGATGAAACGGCCACTGGTGAAAAACCCCATGGAGTACATCGACCTGCCTTACTCCTCCTCCCCGAGTCGTAGTGCCACTGCGAGCCCACAGGTATCTAAGTTTTTCATCACTAGTTTTCGTCCTCACCACGTGAGCTTTCATACTCAGCCATGCTGATGGCACACAGTCCTCTAGGGTGGTTCTTGAGCACTGTGGTTAAGGACTGTCTCCAACAATGCAGACTGTACACTGGAGTTTGTTTTCATGCATACAAATGGCATTTTTCCAGCACTTGGTGGGATAAATATTATCTCAAGGGAAGAGATTAGTGATTGCTCTGGGGATAAGGTGACTAAGGAAAGAGAAACAAGAGCCTCCATCAGTTGGTCCATTCTGAGTGAAGCTGGTGGTGTGGGTACCACCCCACTGCCATAAATGCCATGGCCCAGTGCCATTCTCTTAGTTGTCTCCTTGGTCAAGGTTAGCCTGCAAAAGACAAAAGTAGAGAGACTCACATTCTCATCCACAGACTGTTAAACCAGATCCAAAGTGTTCTTTGTGTATACTGAAACCAGGTGAATGCAAAGGACATTTCATTCCAAGTGACAGGTGCAAGGAACTTAGAGCATCTGAGTCTATACTGGCCTGAAAGGAAGTAGGTTTATAGGCATAGTGAGATGTTGGCTTTCCTAATTATGAACAAACATGTTTAAAAATATAAATTATTCCAAACCCATTCCCACTTTTCCCAAAGCCAAGAAAAAATCAGAACCTTAGGTTCCGGGAGGTGTGGTGGGGTGACGTTCTATGAAGAGACTGACCATTCTGCCGTGTAAGTTGTGGGGAGCATGGCCAGGGGAAGGAGAGCAGGACCTGGGGACCAGAATGACCCTGCCATGGTGCCTCTCTTCGCTCATCCTCGAATCAGTTCCTCCTATCCTACCTGCCTGCCACCAACACCTACAGAGGGTTCTTGCCAGAAGGCATTGGATGGGCTGACACAGGGTTTCCTACATGGCAAGATCCATGTCCTGTGTTCTCATGGGGGAGAGAGTGAGATTGGAGCAGGGCACTCTGCTTCGTAAGAATATGGGGGGCTCAAGTAGATTCTTCACCTGACTGTATGTAGCCAAGAGTGAGTATAATACAAGATGACTACACTACTCATACTCCCCTCTGGAAGACTCTGCTGAGCTCCCTGGAGAGAATAGAAGCCCTGGGAGGGCCAGGGCAGTGGTGGCCACCTTTTACCCCCGTGGTTCTGGGTCCAGCCTCTGATGGCACAGGTGACTGGGGAGGCTGGGGGGAGATCACAGTGTGTCCCTCTGAAATCCGATCTGCAGAGCCACCTGCAACTGCGCTGACGGGAGCCTGTCTCCATCTCCATACAGCGCGCCTCCCCCACCGCCCCCGTCGCCCCCACACATCTCTGCACGCTCCCGCTCGCTCCCACATCCCAGCTTCTCCCCAAATCTAACCAGACAGTTTCCTTCATGGACACCAGTGTGTCCTGCTCATCCTCTCCATTTCATTCCTTTTTATATACCCTTGTGATTATTTTCCTCCTTTCTCCTTTATGCTGACACGTGTACCTTTGCTTCTTTCTTTTGTTTTCCTCTCTCTTCTTCTTCTTTTTAAGTTCCCCAGTCAGAGCAAGCTCCTCATGCCAGCCCCCTCATCTCTGCCCCACTCCCGCCGAGCCCTGTCCCCTGAGATGCACGCTGTCACCTCCGAGTGGATCTCGCTGACCGTGGGGGTCCCCAGCAGGCGTTCTCTGGCCCTGACCCCACCCTTGCCGCCTCTGCCAGAGGCTTCTGTCTACAGCACTGACCACCTCGCCCTGTCGTCCAGGGCCGGCCCCTCCCTGTCTCTCAGCCTCCCACAGTCTAGTTGGTCAGATCGTCCCATGCCACGATCCATGGCTTCCCCACTGGCCCTACCTGCCCCCCACAAAGCCTACTCCCCAGTGCCTGGCGCCCAGGCATCCCTTCACATCAATGGAGACAGTGGTGTCCACATGCCACCTTCAGGCATCCGCCAAGATAGCTTCTCCCAGCCCCTGCTCGGGAGCTCTGATAGTGTCATCTCGGAGCTTAGCGATGCCTTTAGCAGCCAGAGCAAGAGGCAGCCATGGCAAGAAGAGAACGGACACTATGAGAGGAAAGCAGAGAGGGAAGCAGGTGAGAGATGCCCTGGTGGACCCAAGATCTCTAAGAAGAGCTGCTTGAAGCCTTCAGACGTGGTCAGGTGCCTGAGTACTGAACAGAGACTCTCAGATCTCCACACCCCTGAGGAGAGCCGGCCCGGCAAGCCCCTGGGTGGCCCTTTTCCAGGAAGGGAGGCAGAGCAGCCAGAGCGGCATAGAGGTGGGAGCCAGGTAGGCCTGCCGCATGCCGTGTGTGCCCCGGCATCTCACCCCGGCCCGTATGCCGCGGCTGAGCAGATGTCGGGGCGACCGTTTGCTTGCCTCGGGAGCAGAGAGCTGGCCCAGGAGGGAGTGGAGGGGCATCAGTTAAGTTGTCAGGGCTGGGGACAGCTGGAGAAAAGGACAGGATTTATTCTGGCCCTTTGAGGTGGTTTGGGGGTTATTCCCCACCTTGGGCACCTCCTGGCCTAGTGCCAAGGCCGATGAAAGGCAGCGTTTCTCACGTCCATCTGTGCCTTGGAGATCGTCCTCGGTTTGCTCTGACTAACACAGCTGAGAACACCAGGCATTGGTGTGGTGTGGCGTGGTGTGGTTTTGTGTAAGTTGCACTTTGTTTCCATAACCTGTGGCGCTCTGCTAGTGCTCAGTTCTGTCAGGTCTTTGTCCTGTCTTGTGTTGTGTGGGAGCGCAAGGCCTTTGTTCTCCGTGAACAAAGGTGTTTTGGTTCTGGGAGGAGCACGTGGCCCCCTGGGGCCCTGGCAGGCCTGGGGTATCATCAGGTGGGCACACCAGGTTTTGAGTGACTGTCTCATCTTCTCTCTGGGTCAGACTTCAGAGTTTGGACTAAGGTGGCCTTAGGGTATTTTGAAGGCTGAAAAGTTTTGAGGAGAAATGAACTTGGCAACTAGACAAATCATGATTCTGATTTTGGCTATGCTGTTTACTATTCTAGAAGTCAAAGACTTTGGGTAACTTCTCCAAAGTAGCTGGGTTTGAACGCCAGCTCCACCTTTTACCATCTAGTGACTTGTGAGTTACTTCTCTCTGGGACTCAGCTTCCTTATCTGTAAAATGGAGAAACACCTCCCTCAGAGTAGTTGAGAAGATTCCATGAAATAACCTGTGTAAAGTGCTAAGCACAGGGCTGGGAATGTGATCAACACTTTGTAAAGGGAAGTTATAGAAGCACCATCTTGGGCGATCTAGAACTGCTTCTAAAACTGAGAATGTTCTAGAACCTCTTTACAACCAGATGGAATTCCTGAAGATGTCTCCAAACCAGTTATTAACTACGTATTATATACGATGTCCACAGTAAACTGTGCTCAATCCTCAGTCTGGCAATTCCAGTTTCCCTTTGAAGCTTTATTTATTCTGTCAATGAACATTAGTTCAAGGCGTAACCGTGTACAGGGTCGTCAGTCTCTGCTCTTGAGAAGCCCGTGTTCGGTGAGGCTGGCAGTCACAGTAGTGTCACGAGGGCAGTAATAGAGGTGTGCTTGGAGGCCACAGGAGCGCAGAGGCCTGGGACACACTGGGCCAGACCTCCAGTTCCAGCCCAGCACACATGGGCCCTGGGCTGAGTGTCAGGAGTGGGGCTCACTGAGGGTGAGCCAGCCTGGGGCGGTTGTAAGGATTCCTGAGGTAGTGAGTGGAAGAGTGGTGCTCCGTATGTGTAAGGCTCCGTGATGGGGCTTCCTGCTGGGCGCTGCCCAGCTCCTAGTGTGCTGGGAAGACAGCAATACCTGACAAAGGCTTGGCCTGGCTCCAGAACAGGTTAAGGAAAGAATGGTTTGCTGGGAGAGGTGGTGAAGTGGCTAGCTGAAAAGAACTACACGTCTCTGACGCAGGAACAATTCTGTAAATGTTCTAAGTCAACCCAAGGTGCCTGGAGACCTCCTTCTCGTCAGTGGTGAGTCATCGCAGCCCGATTCCAGGATCCCATGTGTACAGGAAGTGCACGCAGTGCCGGAGCTGCGAATGAGGTTGGGGTACACGCTTCCTGCTTCCTGGCTCAGGATAGGAGTCCGGTAGCTGGCAACACCAGAGATCATGTTGATCGGAAAACCAGGCTTGTTGGAAATTGGTTTTCCTTTCTTGGTGGCCCTGCAGACCCCACACGGACCACTTCCTGTCCCTCCCTCCTCCTGCTCTCAGGACAAGCCCCTCCTCTGTGGGTGTGGCCGGGCTGTGGACAGGCTCGCTCCCTGTGGAGAGCTGGGGGCTGCGTGAAAAGGGTGCTGCTCTCACACGGCATCCGCCCTCCCCTCCCCTCCTGGCAACTCTGGCAAGGGGTCCTTCAGAAGGGGCTTCTGCCTCTTGGGCCTGCTTTGGGTGACAGACAAGCTAAAGATGGAAAAGACTGACATGACAGCTGTCCTCTGATGGCCCTGGCAGGATGGCGTGACCTCAAGCAGTGTCACTTATTTGGGCAAATGCATTCCAGACCAGTTTATGTCAAGAAAATTGCCAGCCATTGTTCTCCTTGCTGACCTAAAGAGCTGAACCAAAAGCTCAGTTTTATTGAAGATACTTGGGAGCGAGGTTGTGTGCCTACCAATAAATAGGGGACTTTTACCTGAGGGCCTTACATGAAAAGACGTTCTGAAGCACTTGGACCATTTACTCTTTCAAGCATCTAGAATATTCTGGGCACTAAGTGCTGCAAAAGATAGAGATGCACACCATGAGGGCTTCTGTTTAGATGTCACTTGTTCTAGGGAGCCTTTCTTAACAGCCTCCCCCTGCCTTGCAGGGCTGGATTAAATGCTCTGATTTTGTAAGGCCACAGCCCTGCACCTGGCCGGGGAGAGCAATTCTCAGCCCTGCTGCATTTGCCCCTCTTCTTGCTAGAGTTCCCATGGGGTATTAGTGCCCTGAGGTCAGGTACCTGATATATGGAAGGTGCTCAGTAAATATTCGTTTAATGAAAGAAAAGGCAAAAAATGACTGAACCTAGACAAAGGAGTTTATGATCTCTGTTGAGGAAGACAAGTTCACAAATAATTATAATGCACACAGTTCACTCTGGGTGTTCGAGATGGGGAGAAATTATAAGCAGCAGGAAGGGGAAGGTGGAAGGACTTCATGAGAAAAGCAGCATTTGATCTGGGCCTTGAAGAACAGGGAGTTTCCTCTCAGGTGTCCAGCAGGAGGGCAGCATTCAAGGCAAATAGCCCAAGCAAAGGCACAGAGGTACGAATGTGCAATGTGTGTGTGGACAGTGGTGTGTCCCTGGTTTCGGGGGAGGCTTCCAGTATCTGCAGGTAAACAGAAGGGAAGGTTCTGGAGAAGGGGCGGGGACCAGAGCATGGAGGGTGCTCCTGGGCGGCTGTGATGTTTATCAGCACCTCCTGACAGTGTGTGCAGTCATCTTCCTCATGGTCATGGTGACCCTTGTGAATCAGTCCTGCGTTGCTGCTTTCCTTCCCCTTAGTGACCTCTATACCCCCCAGCTCTGCAGGTGTGCGAACACTTCCTGTCAAATGTTTCGGCTTTTCACTCCTAAAGTGGGTTCACATTGGGTCGGTTGCTCATGTTTTTAGGTGTGTTTTCTTTGAGCAGCAGAAGTGGGTAAATGAAGTGCAGAGGTCTTCAGGGAAATCAAAACGGGGTGAGGAGAGCACTGGATTAGAAGTGAGGGTTCTAGCTCCAGCTCGAACACTGGCCTGCGGAGCGTCTGGAAGTGAGTCACCTCTCTTTCCTGGCAACTTCTCTGTCCATAAACTAAAGATTCAGACGAGAATGGAAGTTCCTTTTAGCTCTGATATCCTATGATTAGGTGAAAATCATATGAGAATTTTAGTTGAAATGAGAAGAATACATGCAAAATTTTAAGTAGAGGGTTTATAATAGACCTGCAGACCGTCACAATTGAAAAAAATGGAAGTCTTTCCTTTTATTGTTTTTTAAAGGGCAACTTAACTAATTTGGCAAAACATACAAAATGCCCAAGAATTCAGAATTATCAACCAAGTTCTTGGATTTCGTTGGGTGTAATTTTGGCCAACTAGGTTTAGGACAATCAAGAAAGTGAAGGGGAAGATCATCTTGAAAGTCTCCACCATTGGCATTATCAAATATTTACTCCAAGACAGAAGCACTGTTTGCTGACTGGCATCCAGCCTTGGTTTTTAAGAGTTTCCATAATTTGTGAGAGAATCTCATAGATTTTCCTTTTTTTTGTTTGTTTTTATTTAGGAGAGAGAATCTCACTCTGTCATCCAGGTCAGAGTGCAGTGGCACAGCCATAGCTCACTGTAACCTCGAACTCTTGGGCTCAAGTGATCCTCCTGCCTCAGCCTCCCGAGTAGCTGGGACTACAGGCTTTTGCTACCATGCCTGGCTAATTTTTTTGTAGAGATGAGATCTCACTGTGTTGCCCAGGCTGGTCTCAAACTCCTGGCCTCAAGCAGTCCTCCTGCCTGAGCCTCCCAAAGTCCTGGGATAGCAAGCATGAGCGACCACACCCAGCCTGATATTTTGAATTAAAAAGAATCTTTAAAGATCATCCACTCCAGTGACTCATCATAGCTTTTTCTGGATCATGAAACCTTTGGGAATCTGAGGTCAGCTGAGGACTCCAGGCCAGGAATTTGGAGAACAGGGTGGTGGCACATACAGTTTCATATACAGTTTCAAGAGGCTCACACCTGTGTCCATCCCAGAGCTCCCTAGGAATCCATGGACTGCCAGGTTAAGAGCCCCCAATAGATTAGATTTGTACAATGAGATGAGAAAACTGAGGTTTGAGAAAAGAGACAAAACTTTTGTGATGTTAATTTGGTTCCTAAGAGGAAGGAAGCCAATCAAGGGAAACCGACTCAACTGAATACAGATGTGCTCTGGTGACTTCAGAGGTAACATTCTTCAACTAAGTTCCCAGCAAGATCAGAACAAAGGCACAGGCCTGCTTTAAGGGTGGAAATCAGAGACAAGGAAAGCATGTGATGCAACTTGCAAGGACAAAAAGGAAACTTAAATGTTAAGATACTCCAATAAAAGTGGGAAGCATTTTCCTTTGACTCACTCAGAAGGGAAATCTCTAAATAAATACAGAAGATGTTTAACAGTTTATGAGATGGGGAGAGACACTGGCTATAGTTCTTCACAAAAACCAGCAGATAGTCTAGTCTCTCAACACTTAAGGTAGGGAAGGGGAGCCAAGACCCAAAGGTAAGTGTGCACCCTTTAAAAGGTGTTGGGAGAAAGGGTACTATCAGTAGGAACCC